TGTATACGCCAACATTTGTAAGACGTATTTTTTCTTTCGTCGATTTTGTTTGGGCGAGGTGTTTTGCAGTTGAGCATTTGCTTGTTCGATCCTGACGACATCATTAAGTAAGTTTTATACATTGAAAAACCATGAATTTGTTAAGATTTGACCCAATTTGTTGTCTGAATGCTATTAACAATAATCTATACTGTTCCAACAAGATTGCTGGAAAACGCCTTAAAAATGTTGGCGTATGCAAAATTTCAACACCTGCCAGTATTTCTGGCTTTTTGATTGATTTTCAGTCATATTTTTTTGTCTTACACCTTTACATTATTATTATATGTTGAAAGAAATGAAAACATATTCGCTGCTGTGAAATTAATTTAAATTACCAACATTGACATTATTCGGATTTACTCATATCCTGAATTTAACTAAAAAAATCTCTGTGAGCCAAGCACTTTAAAAATGCTAAATATGTCCTCATAAACAGTTCTACCTGTTTTAAATAGCAAAGTTCAAACAGTTTTACTTTTGCTTTTTTTTTAAATTACCTTTAACAGACTGATATTTCACATATGATTCACCCTATCAGAATCATGACAAGGTATTTATGCTGATAAGTGTTATTTATCATTCTACTTCAATTTTGTAATAAAATCGCTTTAGGGGTGTAACAGTAAATGTAATACACGTCTTACACGAACGATCGCAAAGTAAATTTCAGTGAAAGAGCAGTGAGCTTGCACTTATCCAATCAATAGCCTAAAGGCTTTTACTAAATAATAATTTACAAAATGCTCGTTTCTTTAATAATATCATCTAAAATCTGCGCTGAAGATCAATGTCAAGGAAAGTATCTCAGACTTATTTTGAAATTTGTTTTGTTTTTTCGAGTGATTCTTTTACTTTTAAACATTTGTTGAACGTTGTTGCCAACTAATTATCAACAATAAATAACAACAATTTTGTTTATTTAAACTTCGTTTATATTGCTCCACACTATATTATTTCAATTAAAACTGGCAAACAATTTTTTTCATAACTTAAAACATATACATCCGAACTTAGACAGCCGCTGTCCAGTTTTCGTTGTGAATGTTCAAATGTTGAGAAGTTGTTCGACTAAGCCAATAATGTAATTTGTGCGATATTTCACAATAAAGAAAAGCAGTACAAACAAGCAATATATTCTTTACAATCATGTTGTAAACGTAATTAATAAACCGTACAATAAGACCCTAAAGTCACACAGCCTCGGATTTGTCCCTCGAGATGAATGGTCGGGATGGGCGGTCGATTCGTTCGTCGCTTGAACGGCCATCTCAACTCTTTTATCCACCCAGAGGAGCCATACCTAATTAAATGTGGGACTACGGTAAAATGGGTGGCACAGTGTGGCCAAGGCTGTCACTTCCCTTTCTCAATCAAGGTCCTTCGGCATACTTCTTTGAGACCTCTCCAAACCCTTGGATGTAAGAGGGGTATCCAGGCGCAACGTAATGGTGTAGCCTTGAGAGCGTGGCACCCTCTCTAAAGCACAAGCTGGATTCGTGTCTGCCTCCGGATAGATACTTTATAGTTCTACAACATGAATGACGAAAAACTCATTGAGTTGGAACGAATAATCCTGTGTTGTTTGGTCAGGCAAATTCAAATTACGTGGACTCAGATTTCAAGAGTACTCTCTGGAGGAAAATAGGACAAAAATGGGTATTTGATTACCACGGGAGAGTTCCAGCATCAGAATTGAAAAATCAGTGAACATTTCTCATACACGAAATGCAAATTTAATGTAAATTTTGTTGTGTTCGACTCTCACACGACATTCACTGCTTCTTGGGAGTAATGTAAATACGTGCGTATATTGTATTTGTTAATGTATTAGGAAGTTTAAATCTTAAGTTTCACATCAAGCAAAATTTGGCTCCATCTTCCATTAATTCTTTGTAAAGTGTAGCAAATTCCCCTTCTGTCCCTCTCTTGTTCCATTCTTGATGGACCCACTTCCGTTTTCTCGCTTGTGATTCCTCTTCTTCATCCAAAATCAGTACGATAATCAAAAGTTCATAATCTGAAAACATTGCCGTTTTTACCACTCAAGTCCAGTGCAAGTCACCGATGAAATACTGACCAGTGTGAATCAGAGAGCCCTGCACGATCACAGTGGCCGAGAATAAGGGCCGTAACGACACTGATACGTCACTGATATGTGTGAATCGACCTTTAGCCGATCATTTTGGTCTGCCTATTCTAGGGTTGGTCTGTCAAACTCTTTTCAGCATATCGCCATACTCACTTTTGATCTGCATGACAAACACCACATACAGAGCATATCTTAAACCAACGAACGTAAATTCCAATCTCACTTCATCCCGCCTACACCCGCCGAGATCAGAATTACGAACGTTTTGTCCTGCTTTTTTTTAATCTCGTAACAATGTTCACATTTTTCAAAAATTCTGTGTCTATTCTCGATAGTATTGTCTATCATTTCGGAAAAAATATGATTACAACTACGTGCAAAAGAAACACCTTGCAAATGTCAGTCTACGCAAAACCGCAATACACGCCACTGTTCCTGGTCGTCGATTCACTATCTTACCATTTATAGTTTACTTTCGTTTCTCCAAATAGTTTTGAACTTAAAACTTTACTTTGTTACCATAAAATTGAAAATAAGTTATTGCAGTATATGTGATGCACCAATGATTTTACTGTTGTTATTTTCATGTATTTATCTGTCGTCTGGGATAAGAAATGATCGACCACATATCAGTGAAATTACCTCTTCTATTATCAAAGAATTTTTAATAAAATCTTCCCTTCTTCCTGAATGTGGACTTCTAGAGCTGGTAGATTGAAAAGAGTCATATATATCTGCGTCTAATAAGGTCCCGTGGAGAAGAAGATACCACATTTATGACAAAGAACTTCACTTTTAGAATTTGATATAAAAACAAGGTGAATTACTACACAGAGGGCGCACGGAATAGTTATTACTATCAACAACTAACGAGGTATGTGTTTTTTCTTGTGAAGAATAAATGGGAACGGTACACAATTTTTTATCTCTTTTACAGTAGTCTACGCAAACATATTGACGAGAACAAGGCATGCATTTAAAAAGATAGAATAAATTGGAGTAAGAGAATGTTATAGATCTCAAAGTTATAATTAACGGCCGTCGCCGTTCATTCACCGGAAACATTCTGCATTGTCTGGAAGCACAACCAGGAATGAGGTTAGGAGTAATGCGCAAGAATGGTCGTGAAATTGCCATGGTGGGCCATACACGTACGGACATGTCCCGAACCGACATGCTCGGTCATGCTGGCGCGGTCAGATTACCGGCGTGGTGATGTAAGAAATATGCGCAAACATGTTCGTCAAATTAGAAGGATGGGCGAGGCATGCTCGGTCATGCAGATGCGGTCAGATTACCGGCGTGGTGATGTAAGAGACATGCGCAAACATGATCGTCAAATCAGAAGGGTCGGCCATGCATGCTCGGTCATATACCAGTGAGGCGTACGGTATTAGACACAGTTATTGTAGAAAAAATGAAAATACGCTTCTTATCAAAAAACGGTGATGCTCTCCGTTAATTAATTTTTCAGGTAGAATTCCAAAGTACAATTATCTCATTCACTTGGTCAACTCCCTTTATGCAAAGTAGAGAACACAAATCCGAAAATCTCCTAAATCTAGCAACGTCGCTGCCGGCTCCTCCTCCTATCACTACTCCAACCGCTGATAAAGCTTCCACCCAAAACCATCAAAGCCGATAAATTTGGCAACGCCGCCGCCGCCGCCGCCGCTTCCGTCTCCGCTTCCCCCTGCCAATCCTGCCTGATCTGGCTATATCGCCGCCGCCGCTTCCTGTGACCGATCATACATACTTCCCCATTACTTACATCCATACTTACATGGAAGTGAAAAATTATTATAAATATGGTGGGCGGTCAGTGTGATTCTGTCAAAGTTCCATTCGTCCAGTGAAAAGGCTAATTAATGTGCGTGCTAAAGAACTCGAATCCTATCTATGAAGAATATGCTACCTTGTTTGCTCGTATCGAACCTGCTTTGATTAGTTGCACACTGTACCAACACTCAAGAAAGTTATTAACATTTAGGTGACGCTGCTTGCTGCTCGTGCCAAAGTTAAAAAGTTTAAAATGTTTTCTTTTCCCAAAAACCCAGTAAACCCTCCTGCTTCCGGAAATCTCCAATCATCTCTCTAGCAGACTAGCCCAATTGTCTTTTTGTCGTCCAGTCCTGCATCCAATTCTCTTCCTTCTCCCTTCCTAACAGTTTTTGCGTCCGATTGAGTTTACTTTTATTAATTACAAAACATCGCATTTGTATTGCGACTAACAATACAACATATCACAATTAATTAAGGTTTTTAGTTGAGATAAAAAAGTCAATGGCACGAACGGGATTCGAACCCACGATCTTCGGCTAGATACGCCGCTGCTCTACCAAGTGAGGTATCGTGACCTCGATCGACTCGGACACTAATTTCCCATCTCAACCGCACCTTTTGAATTTTCCCTCCTTTTTGCCATTTTTCAAATGTCGTGTATTCGGATTGGATTCTCGGCGACAAATGAAATGGCCACGGAGAGCTTTAGTGAAGTATACTTCATTTAAATTCATTAATTTCGTGGTCAAGCGGACCACGAAATTAGTGAATTTAATACAACATATATTTTCTTTTCAATTTTCCAGTTTGGATATTTTAAATAATTGTATACTGGCCGGAGAAACAATAAAAGATCCATTACAAGGCGATTCATTTTCTTCAAACATTTCATTAAATCTAAGGAATCATAAAAATGCAATGAGTAAGTATTATATAAAGAATAATCAAATCCATAATATATCATTTCAGATGAAAAAAAAAAGTTTTAAATTGTTTTTGACCATTTTTTTAAACCAAACAAATTGTAATATAAAAGGGTTATGTTCTGAGAATGATAAAAAATATATTAAAAAAATTCATAAATAAGTATATTATAAATTAATTTATGTATTTTATGCACTGATTACACTAAAGTATTACATTTGTATGAATCTTTATTAAAAGTACAATTTTTGCAAATTATTATAAGATTCGTAATGCTCTTTCATGCTTTTGATTTGATTCGACAACAAACAATGTCAGTCTTCCTCCCAAAAACTCACGAAAAATACAACATAATTAAATTAATACATTTTACAGTACAGTCCTTCATTTTATAGGAAAATAAATTGTTATAAAAAAATAAATACTAAACAAAAACAATTGCAAAATAGTTGAACTTAAAAGACCATCTTAAAAAAATAACTCGTGATCTTCTTTGATTATATCTGCAGCCTTTTCTCCAATCATATATGATGGTGCCATTGTATGTCCTCCTGTTATCGTCGGCATGATTGAAGCGTCGACGACTCTAAGTCCTGACACGCCATAAACTTTAAGCCTTGAATTCACAACAGCGGAAGGATCAGTTGGCGGACCCATTTTGCACGTGCCGCACTGGTGATGAAATTGTGAGGTCAGGTCTCTAACAAAGCAAGCCCAGTAATCATCAGAGCCGAATAAAAGATGTTTACAATTAGGTAATTTTTTATCATGAAGTTTAGCACCGATAGATCTCATCGCGGGTGTTTTTGTAAGTGCTACTGCCGCTTTGATACCCTGCACGACGACATTAAGATCTCTAGTGTCATTCATAAAATTATTGTAAATTAACGGAGGTTTAAATGGGTTTTTACTGTCAAGCTTGACGCTTCCTTTACTTAAAGGGTACATGCCCATAACCCATATAGAAAATGTTGCATTTGGTTCTATCTCCTTGTAAACGGAATTGTACACATCGTCTTTGACATCGAATGTTTTTCTTAAATTAGCTCCATCATCCGATGCATAAGAAGTTGAAATTTGAACCAATTCTATATCGGGAAAGTCTCCAGATTCTGCATAGGAAGATTTGAGATAGGCCAAAGCTTCGCACCCAGCGAAGCTAAGAATAGTTTGACCAGTTCGTTCCCAATTCCACATAGTAATTGGTAAAGACAAGATTTCCTTGCCTATATCTGGAACAACACCTTTATTTGCAATGAACGCGAGTGACGTCGTGCCAATATGCTCTTGGAGATTTTCCCCTACAGGAAGATGAGCGATTACTGGTATTCCTTTCTGTACAAGGTGCTCTTCTGGTCCTACACCTGATAACATCAGAAGTTTGGGCGTGTTAAAACTTCCAGCAGACAAAATGACTTCTCTTTTGGCTCTGACAAACCTCTTTTTTCCTTTTTTAACGAATTCTACACCTATCGCCAATTTTGTTATTGGATCGATAATGACTTTGGTAACGAGTGACTTTTGACTGATGTGCAAATTCGGCCTTTTCGAAACAGGGGCTAAATACGCTTTGGATGCACTGCACCTTTTACCATTACGTATAGTCGACTGAATTCGGCTGAATCCGATGTGATGTCCTTCTGAGTTGTAATCGGTCAAATTGTAACCACTCTGAACTCCGCCTTTCAAAAACTTTTCACTCAGTTTAGTTTTATAATTTGTATACGTTATGGTCACAGGACCATCGGTGCCATGTTGGTCAGAGTCCCTCAACTCTGGAATCTGCATATCCTCCAATCGTTTGAAATATGGGAAAACTCCTTCCCAGCCCCAACCCGGATTACCCGCTTCCTCCCAGCGATCAAAATCTCGACGATTACCCCGTGTGAAAATCATCCCGTTTATAATCGTCGCGCCGCCGATACCTTTGCCGGAAGGCCATGTACATCGTCCATCTATCATACTCCTGCACACTCCTTTACGTCTTTGTGCTTTGTACTTCCAGTTGTACTCAGAAAACAGCATGTACGTCGAAAAAGCGGGTGCGTCTGAGTATGGGTTTTCTTCGGCACCTGCCTCCAGCAATAGCACACTAACGTATGGGTTCTCAGACAATCTGTTAGCTAACACACAACCCGATGGGCTTGCTCCGACTATCACAAAATCGTATTCTTCGAGTATTGGTAAATTTCCAAAATAAACGTCCTCCCGGAGTCTCAGCCTTGTTTGTTTGTATTTTGATATTATTGCTTGCGGTAAAAACGCTTCCCCAATTTTGATTGCAGCGAATAATACAGCAAATACCATACACAGACTGTCGGGCTTCCTCATCCTGAGAAAAAACTAGCTGAAAAATAAACAAAATTATTTTTATTATTATTACAAGTTTATAGATTACATGTTAGGTTAAAGTGTTGAAACATTTAGTCATGTACAAAGCTTAAAAAACAACAACAATCTCTAATTAAGGAAAAGACGTTGCAAAGATAAGAAAACCACTGATAAATTTATAAAATCAAAGAAATTGTAAGTTATTATTATTCAGATATCGTGAGATGCGGTCTGGTGTGATGTAGGTTTCAGAAAAATATTTTCTTTGTCGTGCCAACGTTTCGATCTTTTATTGAGCCCTGAAGATGATCTCAATAAAAGATCGAAACGTTGGCACGATAAAGAAAATGTTTTTCTGAAACCTACATCACACCAGACCGCATCTCACGATATCTGAATAATTATCGATCAACGGTCACTAATCTCTAGACGTAAGTTATTATGTTACAGTAAGATAAAACAGGGCAAATCTTTATAAGCGTTACAAGCAATTCTGTTGTCTTAATGAATTTTATTCTAGAAGAGTGAATATAATTAACCCATTAGTTACACATTTATCCCAACATTACCTCATTAGAGAGGAAAACGCAAGGCTTTTTTCTCTTAGAGGATTGTCGAGGAGAGAGGTCTGGTTGATAAACGATCGGATTACGGTCCAGGTTATTATGGAAGCGTCTGTATCGATTTCTAGTGGTTTCGAGGACAAATGAGATTTGAAGTTCTGTTTGGATAGTAAGGTTGAATACGAAGTAGGAATCTGGAACGCTTGATTGAGCCCCACAGTTAATTCTGTACGTCTAAATTGGTTGTGATGTGTAACTGAGGTGTGCGTTTGGTAGCAAGAGTTTTGATCTTGATAAACTTTTGAGTAGTTTATATCGCCTGTTTTATACTTTTGAGTCGAGTGTGTTTGACGATGTATAGCCCAAGGCAACTTAACATTGATTGGTGAGAGAGGAACAGAGTTGTAGTAGATTGGAGGATTGTGATAGGGTTGGTACAGTCTTGGAGGTTTCTTAATGCCACTATTGGAACTGGATATCCAGAATACGGTGAAAGTGATATTTTCACATTTTGTACGTTTATTTTCATTTTTCATCACCCACCCACCCACACCCACTTGAACTACTGAAGGTATGTGTTCTAGTAAGAGAGCAAATGCGATATCCGCATAGGTGGTAAGGAAAATTCCATAAATGGTAGGACTGTCTGCGGTGTATACTGCGTAGACTGTAGAGTGTGGATTCTATTGTGCAATACCTGATAGAGAGGAACCACTCACTTATGGCTTGTGTCTGTTCGTTTATGATTGTAAGATCAGGTAGTAGACAAAAAGTAGAATCCTCTTAAGCCTCCCGTGCATCATATCAGATGGAAGGATTAAACATTTCTGAAATTAGGGTTTGTGTGTTGGGATAATCGTTGTGAAACTCCTTGTAGCTGAAGTTGGCTGCTTAATGGATATAATGGTTATGGAGGTCGTTGTTAGTTATGAGGTTGTATACTTTGGAAGTTGAAACGTTCGTTGAGCTTCGATGCCGTATATTCAAATGGGTCTCAGAATAGTAATACGTGATGTTCGTTCTGCAGAGTCAGTTTTAATCGTTTTTCCAGCAGTCTTTTAAGAAGTTTGAAGGTCTGTTTAGTCCTCACCATCCCTAACCATCGCTTACAATACGACTTGCATTTGTAAAGTCTGATCCTTTAATGCTTGAACCATTCTTCCAAACAGGAATCTGGGTTTGCTGAAAAACTGTCGATATGTATGAGCATACAGGGTTTACTGTGTCTATAGAGAGAGAATAGAGAATGGAACCAAGGATTTACGGAACACCTTCCGCTTCGGCTTGGTTGATGGGTTCGTAATTGTAAACTAAAAATTAAATATTTTTCTAAGGTGTGGTGTTTAGTGATCGTTAGTTAATATTATTTGGAGATCGTGAGATGCGGTCTGGTGTGACGTAGGTTTTAGAAAAACATTTTCTTTATCGTGCTAACGTTTCGATCTTTATTGAGACACAGAAAACAAACACTTTGAACTCTGAAGATGATCTGAATAAAGATCGAAACGTTGGCACAATAAAGAAAATGTTTTTCTAAAACATACGTCACACCAGACCGCTCTCACGATCTCCAAATAATTTTTTCTAAGGTCGTTTTGCGTTCTTTTTTTTTAATTTTTAATTTTCATTTATTTATTTTCTTGGCTAATATATCGCATATAAAGTTAAAATAGAAATGTCTCCGATTTAAAAATGAAGTGTTGGATTGGAAATTAAACGGATGAATCGTAGACCTACGAAGAAAAATAGATTTATTGATCTCCATTCGTTAAAGTCATCATGTTTAATAATGTAAGAAGGCGTTTATATTTGTTAACCATTAGAAATAGTTTCAAAGTCCAGATGAAAAGATTGGATGAAGATTTTTCGAAAAAATGACGATGGAACTTTGTGTTTCTCTTTCCTTTACGTTCAGGAATTTTAATCACATGGAAAAACAGGTAATTTTATTTTTTTCTTCTTCCATCCCATACTCGTCTGAGCGTCAACTTTTTTTTCTAATTTTTAATTAATTCTACAAGGTCGATCTGTTTAATTTTACGCAACAAAGGGGAATACCTAACTACGCCATGAACTCATTTACAAGAAACCTCTTTATTCAATATTGAAATAAAAATTTTTATTGCTTATTATTATTTTAATAATTAATTCATATTTATTTAGTGGTCATAATTGACCATATTACTTATAACAATTAATTATTCTTTTTATCTAAGGTTTTTGGTTGAGATAAAAAATTAGTGTCAAGAGGGGATTTGAACCCGCGACCTTCGGTTCAATATGCCGCTGCTCCAACCACTTGAGCTATCGTGACTTCGATCCTCTCGGACACCAACTCGTCACCTCAACTTACAACCGTTCGAATTTTCCCTTTTTTTGCCATATTTTCAAATGTTGTGTAATCAGGTTTCGATTCTCAGCGACATGAAATGGCCATGGGGAGCTGTTAGTTAAGTAATTAGGTCTTTTAATTATTAAATTAATCCATATTTGTTATGTTGTCATAATTGTCCATATTACTTATTTCAATTAATTATTCTTTTTATCTACGGTTCTTGTCTGAGATGAAGTCACGATAGCTCAATTGGTTAGAGCAGCGGCGTATTGAGCCGAAGGTCGTGGGTTCAAATACCCTCGTGACACTAATTTTTCATCTCAACCAAAAACCTTAGATAAAAAGAATAATTAATTGGAATTATTTTAAAAGCTCATTTACAAGAACCTTCTTTGTTCAATGTAGAAATAACAATTTTTATTGATTATTATTATTTTAAAAGATTAAGGAAATTCTGAAAACAATTTAAAAGGAGTAATTTAACAAGACCGAAATCGGTAAGAAACTCGTAACAAAACAGGTAAATCTCATAATTACATTATATTTTTGGATACACAAAGATTAAATCGAACGAAACTGTCCTTGTGTTACTTATTAAATATTACATAGTTTTATTTTGAGAACTGTGCGGAGTCAGAAGTACTAAAGACCATAAGTCATTAAAGTCTTCTTTTCCTCCTGCGCCAAATGCCGTCCGACGGAATATACATACGCTCGATAGGCGAACATATTAAATCTTGTCGAAGGACTGCTTTTATTCCCTCAAATTATGAAATTTACGAATACAAACTGTTTTTAGCGGTAATGACTTTTCACTTTACAACGGTATGTTTAGTGCTAAATATAAAATTAAAAAGTGTCTTGTCAATCATGAACATCAAGAAGTCATTGAAAGGTTTATATTTATCACAAACTTCCAAGCTATGAGACTCCGGTGTGTTGTGCACCAAAAGCGGTCTTGAAAAAAAAAACAAATGTAGCAAAATTTAGGAAGAGTACGACACATCACACAAATTTTGATCTAATTTCGAAGGCGGAAAACCCATAAAAAACTATGTGGAAAATAATCAATTCCAAACGAATAAACTGCGATATAAAAGCAAAATGCACCCATACGTGATAGCACCCAATGAATTTAATAACTTCTTTATAAATGTAGGTAAAAATGAGACAAAAAACAAAAATCTACAATATGTACAAAACCAAAGAATAAATTTGTGTTTTGAAAATAGTATAAAGTTTTATTTTGAGAACTGTACGGAGTCAAAAGTACTAAAGACCATACAGCCATTAAAAAATAGATCAGCCAGTGATTATTTTCGGCCGGAATGTCGCAATTTCGCAATTCTAAAACAGAGGTTATTTCTTTCAATTAATTAATCTTTTTATGTAAAGTTTTGGTTGAAATGAAAAAGTTAGTAACACGAGCGGGTTTCGAGTGGTAGATCAGCGGCATATTTAGCCGAAGGTCTTCGGTTCGAATCCCTCTCTTGACACTAACTTGTTCAACTCAACCAAGACTTTTTTTAACATGTTCCCTTTACATAGATTACATGTTTATCTTATAGTGATAAATAGTGTAATATATTGAAAATTTTAGTAAACAACAACTTAACGAATCAATAAAGTATTTTAAAATAACACGACATCTAATTAATAAGTCATTTTTCATCTCAACCAAAAACCTTAGATAAAAAGAGTAGAATAATATCCACACAACAAATTTAAACACACTACACGCAGGACAAAAAGAAACATTTCAAATAATTTTCCGAGTCTTCACATATTGTGTTTGATATATCTATTTTGATCAAAATTAAGAACGTTAAACTTTTTAGCGCAATGAAATTTTTTTAATAGTTATTAACTTCAAAAAAATGCACATATTTAGTTAAAACCACATATCTGCACCATATGTATAGGCAAGAAATAAGTTTATATGCTTACCTGTTTTCCTCAATTCGTTCAATTACAACACTTAAGTAGTTAAGAACGTTGAACTTTATTGCGCAATTACAATACAATAAAATTGTAATTCGAAGAAAAATTATACTAATTTGTATTCACATGAAATACTAAATGTTCGTGTGTTGCAAATATATCACGTGTCCGAGGCTTCGTCCCATCTCGATCCACTTTGAATGAGAAGGAAGGATGTGCGATCTTTTCATGTAACTGGAAAAAGAAATTGAGAAAATTCAATAGCTCCCAGTTTTCCTATGATTAGGCATTTTTGAGATACCTTCACAAATGTGTAGTTTTTAGCGACCGCTAATTAATAATTATTTAGAGATCGTGAGATCCTCTCTGGTGTGATGTATGTTTAGAAAAACATTTTCTTTATCGTGCCAATTTATTGAGATCATCTTCAGGGCCAGGGATTTATAAACATTGTTTAAATTATACAAATGCATCTAAGATGTGAAAATGAATCTATACAATGATGTACACAACATAGAAATTTTAGGTGTAATCAAAGTATTTGTATCTACACAGAAAACACGCACTTTGAATGAGTGTTTTATACTTTGGTTAGGTTTAATCAGAGTGTTTGCACTCACTCAAAGTGCGTGTTTTCTGATTACAAATACTTCGATTACACCTAAAATTTCTATGTTGTGTACATCATTGTACAGATTCATTTTCACATCTTAGATGCATTTGTATAATTTAAACAATGTTTATAAATCCCTGGCCCTGAAGATGATCTCAATAAAGATCGAAACGTTGGCACGATGAAGAAAATGTTTTTCTAAAACTACATCACACCAAACCGCATCTCACGATCTCTAAATAATTATTCCTTCACAAAGTTGGAAAATATCAAATAAAGTCATTTTACAAACAAAAAGTCCATTTTTTATTCAAGAATTAATTTACTTGAGAAATTAATTTTCAAGAAAGAACATTTCAAAAATAAAATAAAATTGTTACAATTTTTATTTTTTAAATTTTGTGCGCTCGATTTTGTACAAAATTCACCAAATTTGATTGTAAGGAGTTAATTTTTGGAAAAATCGTAAAAGAGATGTTTTTCTTACTCACCTCTTTAGTGTTCTCTCTGCTGCAACTCTATGTACCTTGCGTTCCAGACCTTACAGATTCCTTAATTTAGTGGGGAGGATCACACGAGTATTGACCCCGACTCCCCTCCAATTTCAACTTCAAGATCACGCGAGTTTTCTTTCTCGACGATGTCTATCCAATTTTCATCGGGGTATTTCTCCGAACGGTGGTAGGCCGTAAACCGCCAAATATTGTTCCTCCTTACAATTAAAAGAGGGTAGAAAAAATTTATATGGATAATTCGAGAAATACTAAGAAGGAGAAGAAGAGAAGAAGGAAGACTAGGTTGCATCTTTTTCATTTGCCATCTTTATTTATTAATCTTCAGATATAAAATAAAATACATTAAATGTGGTAATTGGATAAAGAAACAATAAAAAATGTTTTTTTACGAATATTCGCCACAGCAGAGGTCATATCACCCAGCTGGGGTGCCGGTGTTTTTGAAAAAAAGTCGGGTTCGAATGCAGGACCGCTGGATTCGAACCCAAGACCTTTACCATGAGAGCCGTGTCAACGCCTAAACCGTTGCGACCACGGACCCCTTTGTAAACGCTTCTTAATAAATTCAAACTCTTAGACAGAATTTTATTGGACAAACGTTTTTCATATTAAATTCACTAGTTTTCGTGGTCCGCTTGACCAATTAATATCTTTCAATTAATTAAGGTTTTTAGTTGAGATAAAAAAGTCAGTGTCACGAGCGGGATTCGAACCCACGACCTTCGGCTAGATACGCCGCTACTCTACCACATGAGCTATCGTGACTTCGATCCACTCGGACACGTGTAATCTATTTGATTCTCGGCGACAAATGAAATGCCACGGAGAGCTTTAGTGAAGATGTACTTCAGTTTAACCTACTAAATTCACTAGTTTTTGTGGTCCGCTTGACCAATTAATATCTTTCGGTTAATTAAGGTTTTTAGTTGAGATAAAAAGTTTTTCATCATGAGAGTTTTTCATATTCTAAATATTCTAGCCTTCTGATGATTTTTTTTATCCCGAAGGTTTCATTTCTTCTATTCTTCGACTTTCAAACGGTATACGATGTTTTTACCTTGTCGTTACATTAACCTAGTCCTTTATGTCATTGTTTTAAGTCGATTTGTTTCAATATCTCTTAATAAATTCAATTGATCTAGAAGATTGGAATCCTTTATCTGTTATGCATCTTCTTAATCTTTTATTTGCAATACATCCTTTAGAACGGATGAACTCGACCAAGTTTTGGCACGCGCGCATCGAATTGGTTGCTGAGCGAGGAAGATCTCACAAGAACATTACAGAGGTGCTTACATAATCGAAGAACATGTAATTGCCAATTGCCCATTTTATTTTTTTTTTAATTTTCTGTTGTTTTTTACTTTGAAACATGTGATATACCATGGTAATGAACCAGCCAGCCCTTGATCCTCATCTTCAAAAATTGGTGAGTTCGATAAGTGGCCAATAAAATAACAAAATACCGGCCACGGTCAATTCATTGAGTAAATGCCCATTTCTTTTTCCTGATCATGAAATTTTGCATCGTGATGTGAATTTTGTATCCCTAGATATCAAGGCTAAATAAAAAATAAAATAGAGCCCTATAAACCTTCAGGTCAAAACGGCTGAAAAATAATCTCATGCTCTTAAACGGTTCTTAAATAAATCCACACCTTCACAAATTTAATGAGAAGATTAACGCAAATTAGACAGAATTCATAATTACGTTAAATCGAACGCCTATTAGGCGGAGGTGAAATGGCGAATTTTCACATAAGAATTTTAGCGATTTGGGATATCCTTTTAACTAATTAATACTTTCCGTAACTACTTTCACTATTAGGTCACTGACCACAAAGAGATAATTTTGGGAGAAACCTTTATGAAGGGTGAGAAAAAAAAGAGTAAATCTCCATTGTGCCGGACAGATATCTGTCGAATTCAGGGGAATTCAAGAGGAAAAAACAACCAGCACGACCACGACGGCTTTTAGAAAGTCCCAAAACCAACGAGGGCAAGTTTTTCCTCTTTATTTTTAAAAAGTTTGCACCTTCTGTGTTTATTTTAAAAAAATTGACGACGTGTGTAAAGTTTCTTCCAGTTAAAACTAACTTTTTATGCCAATGAGAAGGAGTAGTGGTTTAAGCACTTTTTGGAAAAAGCAGGGAATTTAATGTCTTCGGTTTCTCACCATTGCTGAATCCAAAGTTCACAAGATAAACAGAATCGTTAAGTATGACTTTTTGAGGTCAGCAGGGTGATAAACTTGATCGACAAGGCTAACCAATTAGACAAAAACGGCATATATACAGTAATAATGCGGAAACAAATTCATCGGACGACAAGAAAATTATAAGACACAAGCTGATAGACAATACCGACGCACTGCTTCCACATTTATCGACGAGCATACAAAAAAGAACAGGATAAACAGAAAACTACACTGATTATGGCAAAAGGCAATACCAAAACAGCGAAGATATGCACTCCAAAATTTTCGGACCAACCGTTCGTACGAATTCTTCCATGTCCGTGTCCTTCCAACTCCATAGCTTCTCCAGAGAGAAAATTTTCACGAACCTCTGTCATCTGAAGTCCTCAAACCAAACCAAGACTCGTCTGAAAACAAGAGTCTCGCTCAGTCCCAATGATTCTTGAGAAATTTAACAGAGCCTGGTCCTCGTCTAGGTTTTGAACTGATCTCCCTGAATTTAAGCGGCTATCAAAATTTCTTCACCTTAAACGCGCAGGTGGTATCTGGGCCGATTGCAATCAATGCCTGGCCTAAACATCAATAACTCTTACGTAAGACACTCAGCACCACAAAACCTTAAAGCTTGTTCTGTGATGTCTGGGCATCTAGACTTCTTCCATCTTTCCATAACGATTCAAGCAGAGTCCCCATTTACAAAAGAACCGTATACTCAAACTGCCACACTTATCTAAATTATATCAAAATATCAAAAGCGTGGCAACGACAGAGGAACTGAGAATCGGGCAGTAGAAAAAAGCATACAGCTACGGCTGGCCTTACCAAATCTTTTGACACAACTGACATGATCAAAATGTGACATATCGAAAATACTAGACTTTGAAAAACATTGAAGAGAGGAACAATGGAATGATAAAACAAAAACCTGGATGGGGGGATATCTATGAGCATCACAACCATTTTTCAAGCCAAACTGCTAGCCATAAAAACATGTATACATGAAATAGATAACAAGCATCTCCATGGTGCAACTACAAAAATATAATCAAATAGCCAGCGAGCTCTACGGCTATTCAAGCTTACGAAATCAAATCAAAACTTATCTGGAACTGTCTAAATACCCTAAAAAAAAAATAGCGTTCCATAAATAGTTGAACGCTACAGGGGATTCCAGGTCATGAGGCAATTTCAGTCAACAGCAGCAGAACAAGTGGCATAAACAAGAGTAAATTTAATAAAGAACTGGAATCTTGGGTTGCGGACACATAACAAATATAGCGAATGTATACAATGGCCCTATGCATGGGGCAAGCCAAAACACTAGGAGAAAGAGGATTTCTTACTCAACAGAGATTATTTACGGATATTTCCAGTAAAACACCACTTTAAAAAATAAAACTATTAACAGACGACCAATGTCCTCTATGTCTAGAGGAGATAGAGACAACAAAGCATATCTGCAACTGTCTGCTAGAAAATACTATGGTACCTAGGAAAGCCATTGCATGAAGATGGAAACCTCTATACCCATGAAAAGATTTCTGTACTTTATTAACGACACGAAAATCTTCCAGGAAAATCTCCAGAGCTTGAAAGAGAAATCTCGATGCCACAAAATGAAGATAAAAAATATCGATGGACAGAGCGATATTCGGGAATAAGCAGGGCGAGGCACGCCTTGTTCCTCCTTTCCTGCAGCAACACTAGATCTGGAGTCTTGGTGGAACAATAGGATTATTACAAGATGACCTATCTCGACTATGTCTGAAATGTGACAACAGAACATATCCCTCAATAGCTTGTAATAGGAAAGCCATTCTTGAGCAGTAAAGTCCTCGATAGCCTACTCTCGAGATGAATTCTACACTTTAGTAAAGAAACGAACATTTTTACAGGAAAACCATTAGCAGAGCTTGGAAACACAATCACAATAGACGAAAGCTTAAGTACAAAAGAGAGAAAACTTTACGATTTGCCGATTTACGAGACACGACGTTGACCCCCCACCATTTCTGCAGCAATGCTACAACTGGAAAAATAAGGCTATTAAAAGATGACCAGTGACGGTACAAAACGGCTTATTGTTGACAGTAGGATTTGTGACCCTCGGTGTGGTTACGTGTAATGAGTGACCGCCAACGGCGATTAATTATTACTTATTAGCATATTACTGAATAGAGCGATATCATCTGCTCCCCACGCCTTTCCCTTCAACTATATTTTGAATGAAGTATGCGAGCCGAATCCCATGAATGACCCGTGACAAATTAGCAATGTTCCAACTGTCAGGGATTAGGAGTTTTATTTATTAGACAAAGTAACAATTTAATTTCTACCAAAAACACGTTTTGTATAGCATATTGATACAGAAATTAACGTTAATGTTTGATGTAGTAGCAATCGCCGAGCTAGAATAAACACTTTAAGATAACCAAAACTCGAAATATAAATTTTTATACTCTTCAGTGCCTTTACTGTTTCATTTCCTCAGTTATTAAGCCAAAACGACCCAGCACATAAATTCACTTTTATATTATCATCAAATATATATGGAGATGACATACGTCTAATAGCCAGGGGCAAAATTGAAGAAACGCAGTGATATTATCCAAGAAGGATTTAACAAATGGTGAAAATTGGCAGGGCTGAGGATTAGGAGGCTAGCAAAACGACCATGGTGGCAAAAATAGCAAAAAGTCGAAACGCATCTGATCCAAAATATTCGGAATGGACGAAACTGCAGGCTCATCACAACTCTAATTGCACAATGAAAGCTTAGCAAAAAATCGGCAGTTTGAATGGGCAACAATAAAACAACTTATAAATACTACACAAAACACTATTAAAAAAATCATCTAGGCCGACCGAGACAATGTTCTGATGGCGTATACAATTGGCCAAAAAATTATTCATTCAATTGGTTTTTTGAATTTTTTCTTTAATTTTATTTCGTACATAAATTCTTGAGGCTATAAAAATGACGATTTAGTCTCACGTAATTATTTGTTGAAAATTATCTTTTTCCTGTCAAATTAACCTTTTTTGTCTTCAGATTAACCTTTTTTGTTTCAAATTAACTTTTTTATTTCAATTTAAGCCTTTTTATTTTCAAATTAACCTTTTTTAAGTTTCAAATTAACCCTTCAACATTAAAGATATATTAATTTATAATATGTGCATCTTATTCATTTGTAATTTGGCCTAATACGAAATATCTTAGCCCAACAAGATTAAAACCTCGGTTTATCCAATCAGTCTATAAGTGTATGAATAATTCCAATTAATTATCCTTTTTATCTAAAGTTTTTAATTGAGATGAAAAAGCTGGTGTCACGAGCGGGATTCGAACCTTTGGCTCAATACGCCTCTGCTCTAACCACTTGAGCTATCTTGACTTGATCCCCTCGGACACCAACTCCTCATCTCAACTTACAACCGTCCGAATTTTCCCTCTTTTTAGCCATATTTTTCATCTGCCATATTCATCTCAACCAAAAACCTTAGAAAAAAAAAGAATAATTAATTGGAACAATTGTCAATTATGACCGCTAAGCAAATAATGTTTTGGCGGTGAAAAATGTCAATTTTTGTATTTTAATGTACAGCTTTTTTCCGTCAAATCAATCCTTTAATTAAAGAAGAAAATGCCAAAAAAAATTAATGACTTATTGTATATAAAATATGAATGAATTTCGTCGTCAAGGCAAGCTGCAGGGTAATGGATAATCCTCCAGCACCACGACATGAAATACGCTTAAAAAGGAAAAACAGCGATCTACAAGTAAACTAGTCACTTAATCGATTTAATGTTAAATATTGTATATACTGCTGTTGAGACTTTATTTATTAAATAGGTTTGAAGGTATGTATATTTCTTGAGTAAAGTAATCACTCTAAATAATATGTTCTGTGAGGAAGAGTAATGAATGCCCACTTATAAGTGTTACGTAATATATGTATTATTAATAATTTAATTTCTCCACGTAACTGCTGTACACAATGACTGATGTACAAATAATTCTCTAATAAAACAATTGGATTAAAATCCCCCGAAGGAATAAATTTTATATTTATAAAATATGAATACAGATTTCTTTTCGCTCTTCAATCTAGATTTATTAAAATTACAGCTATTAACTAGGAACATTCGTAATAAAATATTTCAATAAGATAATGTGACAAATACTATGTTTACTGCCGATTCTAGAGTTATTTCGTCATTTCAAAAACAATTACGTTGGAAAAATGTCGACGTAAGAACTCTCTCTGGGTTCTTGCTGTAAACAATACCGGCACTAATATCAAAATATAAAATGGAATAAACTTCTACCATCTTATCCAGTTGGGGAAGCAAAACACTTAAATCGATTTAAAAAACTGCCATGAAAACATTCCTCCTCTCCTACATAGTAGCTCATATTGACCTAAACCTTTGCGTATAAGCATAATATGACACTTCCAGAATGGCTGACTTGTCAAATTTCTCTCCCTGAATTGGCATACCCAAGTATTTCTTTTACTGAAAAATTTCAAGGATACTAAAACATATTTACTTTCTAAACAGGATATTTACTTCACTATTCTAATAAATCTGTGTTCCTTCTAGCCCATTTTTATTGTTCTTGGAAAGTAGCTAAAATCGTTCCAATTCTCAAACCGTGTAAAGGTATGCCTCGCTCCAGACCTTACTACCCTGTCAAAAGTTGCAGATAAAGCACTCCTGACTATAACAAGGACATGTAAATAACATGACGCCATGTCAGAATGGTTTAAGGCCCAATCTTTCTACTAACTCGCATCTACTACTAGCCGCAGAAACGGTTCTTCGTCATTTTAATACAAAAAAGCATGGATGGTGCTTAATGATTTTGTTTGGCGCAGGGGTCTAATCTTCAAACTTCTCTCTTACAATAATTATTTAATACATTTAAAAAGTTATTATCTCACTAACAGGATAAGTTTAAATCAACAGTAAGGAACATAAGCGTTGGAGGTCCCACAAGGGTAGCTGCTGGCTCCAATCTTGTTTGACATAATTAGCCTGTGTAAACTCTACCTGTAAAACTAAAAAAATATTTGCTGGTATATAACACGCCCTTGAGGGTGATTTATAGGGTTGATGCCATCAGTAATGACTAGTATAATGAAAATGTCACAAATACTCTTTCAAATAGGGAATTCAACCTTACAACAGTAAAACAGGCAATGCTATTTACCCGTCGTAACCCAAAGTAAATAACATTTTGACTCCAAACTCAATTTTGAATACTATTTTGAGAAAGAACAAAACATTCCTAAGGCTGTAGCCATCATGACACCAGAAATGGAAAAAAATTAATTTACGAAATATATGATAGGCACCCTTGATTACTTATGTTACCTCTGTCTGGAGAAACATATGTAAATCTAACAATATAAGACACCAAGTAGTAGAAAATGTTGCTTTAAGAATTGGTGGGTTGTCGACGATGGACTCAAATAGATTTCAGGGCTTCTCAAACTATTTTGCCAGCCAACTCTTTCACAGAACAAAATCCAGGGCGGACCCCTCGTATTTAAGTATTCAAAATTAGATACTTATAGTATGTAGTAAATTAAAATTTTTATAAATTAGCCAGCCCATTCCTAATTAGGTGTTATCGCTATGAAAACAAATATTAGATTGGCATACTTAACTTTATTTAGAAAATCCGGAACACAAAAATCAAATTGGGCAGAACAGTATCAATAGATATGTAAAATGAGCCAAATACCAAAGTAATTGGACCATTAATGATTAATGAATTAATGGGAAGTGTGAGATTGTTTTAACCTGCACAATATATGCAAAGAAAGACATTTATTTTAATGTAAATATCTGATAAATACGACAGAATACAATGCCATTTCTCATCATTGAAAACGGCCAATTTGACCTTATGGTCCATATGGTGGTTTCCCAAGAGACAGTCACCTCACTGATTGTGTATGGTGAATCAGGGAATGATCAAGGCTTCCCATATCGTCATCATCATAGTATTGTGAAAAGTCTTGACTTCAATGTCCGCGGCTTGATATAATTAATAATTTGAAAAGACTCATCCAAAACTTTTATATAAGAGGCTGGCATTTATTTCATAGCTAAAGCATGTTTGTGAAGAACAATGAATGCTGCTGCAAAATAAAAAAACTTTCGTTTTCACTGCTCATTATTATTAGTTTTTTAAATTTTATTTATTGGTTCGACGTTTATTTTTGTAATTATTAATTTTTATCGAAGTTCGCAGCGGACTACAGTTTGGGAAGCCCCGGATTATATGCATATTGTACTTTACATACCAAACATAAAAACCAATATGGCTTAATTGTGTCTTTCCAAATACTTCGCTAGCCCATAACTCCATATAATTAATCTGGTTTTTCTGTGACAATACGATTTAAAACACTACAACTATAAGGGTACATAATTTTTTACGGGGATTTGTAACACCAAAGGTCATATCAACCCCAGGGTGCCGGTTTTTTTCCAAAAAAAGCCCATTTGTAAGTATATTGGGATCCGGCGGCCCCCAATTCGAACCCGGGACCCATTGAACTAATTAAAACATTAATTTAAAGGTCGAGACAAAAATACACTTGTTCATTGCGCCACTAATTGACTGATTAACATGATTTACACCAGTACAGTGTCGATTATGTACAAATTTAAAATTTTCCTAAATTTCCTCCAAGGTATTGAGAGGTTTTCACCGTACACTGAAAATCGAATATATTGACGTTTGTCGATTCAAAGCGCAAAATAAAAATAAAATAAGAATAATCAAAAATAAAAAGCTTGAAAATCGTTTTTATTGATATTCCCAAAAGCGATTTGGAAGTTGGTAAGGATTTCACGAAAATTAATACATAACTGTACTTACTCATTAACACCCCAATCTTTTAATGATACCTACACTCTAATCGCTTTGTCTTGTATAAAAGCCACACTTAATTTGGGTAAGTTTAGTAAGTCGTCGGGAGGCCGAGGTGCAAAACGAAAATGAACGCATTTCCCAAGACTTTTTTGGGTGAGTAAGAATCACTTGTGAATTTAAATTCAACCCTGCTAAATTTTACTGTACGAAATTCAATTTAGACGTACATCAACGGTAAAAATAATTCAATCAAATACAGAAAAAACGAAGGAAATGAGTTTAAATAAAAGCTTGCACACAATTCCGATGATTTAAAAAAAAGTATATTTCGGCAATTGTGTACATTTAAGACACGGAAAGTACTAAATGTTTCAGGTGGACTTTTGAAATTTGATGTGATTTTGTTTTATTTTGATTTTAGTTTCTTTTCTATTAATCAATATTTTTTCAGTTGGATCACTTTCATAAATACACCCCTTTTTTCGTTATTAATTTGTAATTATATTCACTTTATGGTAAATTCATCAAGACCTTTTTAGAATAGAAAAATAAGAATGTTGCATGATCGTCCTCGATCATCCTAGTCTGTCTATTCAGTGGTTTGTCTGTGTGTCATTTAATCATTTGTGTCCATTTATAAGTTAGGCAAATGTGAAAGTTATAACAATTAATTAAGGTTTTTAGTTGAGATGAAAAAAAGTTAATGGCACGAGCGGGATTCGAACCCACGATCTTCGGCTAGATACGCCGCTGCTCTACCACCTGAGCTATCGTGACCTCGATCCACTCGGACATCAACTTCCTATCTGAATCCCACCTTATGAGTTTTCCCTCCTTAGTTATGACAACATTGTCTGTCGATGTCACACATATAGGTGAAAAGCATCTGTTGGATGAAGTCAGCAAGAATAGGCTTACCAAGATCACTTTTTTTTAACTAGAATATTTATTATATTTGAAAATAATTGTATTATTGTAATTGTAGTGCATATTGGAATACTGGCTCTAGTAACAGCCGAATATACAAGTTCATCTGATCCTTATCCTGCAGTCAATTACCCACTAGCAGCAGCCGTGCCAGGTAACGTGTACTTAAGTATAAAAAAATTAGTAAAGAACCTAGGTCTTTGTGGTTGTAGATGGTTCCCGTATAGGAGGTACTGCTGGAGGAAGTGCTGTTGTGGTAGGCACCTCTGGCTATGGGGGCTTTACGCCATATGTTGGTGGACCGGTTTACGGAGGAGTGCCATCAGTCGTACCTCCACCTGCATTTGGACTCTCGCCACTTTGTACAAAACTGGAGAACGTTAAAGCAAAACTAATTCAAATTACAGAGCCATTGTTTGTTGTTGGAATTAGCATATCCTTGTTTTGGCTACTTAAAAATCTCTTTGGGCCACAAATTGGCGATTTTGCCTCTGATTTTAAAAGGAGGATGGATGATGAAGACATGCTCGACAGAATTTCGAATGATGTTGCGAGAGCACTTTCTGAAGGGATTTGCACCCAGAAAATCGCTTGCTCTTTAGGTATATCTTCCCGGCAAATCCCAGGTCTCAAAACATTAGCAAAGTAAGACTATATTAATATAATTTGATTAACATTTAGACCATTTTCACTCACAACTCTATGTGACTTTTGCTTTCAGAATAATCCCGAAAAAAAGGGCGAAGCATGTAGCATTCATAGACGTATGGCAAACAGTAGCTGCAGGAAAACAAAGCAATTGTGAAGCATATTCTTGTTTTACACAACTACAATGAAAAACGTTTTATTTATGGCTTTTATTTATTTATTAAAAAATTATATTTATATTAAATATGTTCTTTTTGTTCTCCCTTCTCAGATATCACAGTTAAGAATTTAAAATATTAATTAGCAACTCATGTTTTTTATATACTTGATATATTCTGTAATGATTCATGAAGTTACGTTTTTCTTCCTCTATTTTACCAGTATCCTCTACAAATTTATTGTTAATGAAATCATTTACACATCAATGTTAAGAACTTAATTATTTAGATAGCATTTAAAAAATTCATACAAGCATACAAGCCAAGGTATTGGGGGTAATTTTTCAGGTGGGTTATTTCAAGTGGAAAAGTTGTTCTGCGGTTTATAGTTACAAGAACCCTGACTAGTCCTTAATGAACTTTGACAAGGCAATTTTTTTTTGGGGGGGGGAGTACAATTGTTTTGGTTGTCACCAGATCATGCAGCTTCTAAAATTTTACAATTGGATAAAAGAGATAAATTGCACATATATTCTCAAACGAGCTTTTGTCATCTTGTGTGTTGATTTGAAAAAACATTGGTGTGATGATGAATCATTTTAATCTGAAAATGTCTTTTAAAATTGCATTGTTTTTGGATAGAATATGTTCTTTGTTCTGATATTTTCTCAATTGACAATCTATTTTGATTCTTTGCTGTCAAACCTTTCTATCTTTCATCTTATAACAGGATGATCGGGAGAGGTCTCTCATATCAAGAGCACTGGGATGGATCCTCCTCACCCGATTAAGAATAGGCCATACAAGGTTGACACATGGACACTTACTTTTGGGCCAAAGCACAAATATGTGAAGGGGTCAGGGGAAAAACAGTACATCTCCATTTTTCTAAATTTTACAGGAGAGCAAAAAATCGATTTACCATTATGTTTGAAGCACTAGGCTGTTCTTAAAAATTTAATGAAAAATACAGCTATTAAATTTAAACACCTTTCACATCAAATCAAAAATTAAATATTGAAAATATTTTTGCAATATGGATAAATTTTCATTTGGAAAAACAANTGGAATTGCCGGCGTATTGCAAGAAGCTCTGTGGGTATTTATGTATCTATTTATGTAGTCTTATATTGTGTATAGTTGCTTTATGTAATAAATGCTTTTTTGTTACATACCTTCCAAGATTGAATGTATTAGTATGTTGTCAGAATTGTACGTATATCAATCAATTCCTTCAGCCTAAATGAATGGTGTGTAAGAAAAATGCATTGAAGGATGAGTGTAAATCTATATTTAGGTTTAAAACTTCTGCAATGGAGGCTGAAACAACCTAGTTGTCGATAGACTCTTAACATAACTTTAATGAGTAAATATTTGATTTTACATATCAGAGATGTCCTGTAAGTAGCTGTATCTTTTTTCGCAGCTTTCTTTTAAGCCTTCCTCGGGTGTCTACATACAATAAGGACTCTACAAATCACATCCCTGATCCCTAAAATTAAATTGTTAATCATCACTGGTCGATAATTCTCCATGTGATTCAATGAGTAAGACTGATAAATCCAAGATCTAACATGATTTAGCAATACTTGGTTCTAGAGACCAAGTAGGTGCCATAGTTGTCTTTTTTGTTTTATGTGTACGTTCCATGTAAGTATACTGTCCAAGCAGAAACCAAGCAGAATTGGTTGGATTGAAAGATTACCTTACTGTATATGTGCTCTGGTGGGCAAGTACTTCTAACTGTGAACGTCACATGCTGGATCTTTTGTGAGGTCTAGGTGCTCTTGGGTTGCTTTTGCTGCAAGGATAGGGTCAGAATGTGAAGAGAGGATTGAGGTGTCGTCCCGAAGGGGTCAAAAATTTCAAGAAACGTAAATCGACAGGTAAAATTCCAATTAGATAGAATGGACAGATTGACAGACAATAAGGACTCTACAAACCACATCCGATATACACCGGTTTTTGCCTCTTCTGCACATACGGGTCTAAGACCGGCAAAGGTGTGGCATGCGCGGTTCATTGAAGGATGGATCCATTTCTTGGTCACTCCCACCACACTAGCGTTTACACGGCAGAATTGTATGCAATTTGGCACACACTCAAGACGATCATGGCTCTGCTTACCTTATCTGTACCGACTCCCTCTGTATGGTTGCTGCTGTCCGTGACAGGTCTTCAACCCTCTCATTGTGATCATGCCGAACTGTGGCATCTCAACAAAACGGTGGTTGTTGTCTAGGTACCTGGACACATAGGTCTGGCGAGAAATAAACAATGGACAAAGGTGGCTGAGGTCAGTTGGCCCCCTCTGACACTAAAAATGCAATAAAAAACATGATTTAAAGAAAGTGGCAGCATCAGTGAGCCATGTCGGCAGAGAAGCTCTCACATGAGCACTGTCAATAGATGGGTGGCCCTTGGATGACTTGACTCATAGGAGAAGGGTCATCCACACCCAATTAAGAATAGGCCATACAGGATTTACAAATGGACACTTGCTTTTGATGCCCCACTTAATTGAAGGGTGCCATTCCTTGGCTCCATGTAGAAATTCCGCCCGAAATGAGAATTGTGCTTGAGCATGACAGATTATCTGGATCCCCTATTCCGATTTTTGGAGGAAACAGTAATGTTTCATTGTATACAGTAATATATAGTTTTGTGCCCCTAGCAAGTTTGAGAGTGATGTTTTTATTGGTGTGAATGTGTGGTGTAAGAGGGCCGATGAGGTAATATTGAGAACCCCATCAACCATCAATTAGGTTTGTAAAATAGATGTAAAGGATGATTGAGGAATATCAAATATTCCACCACCCTGCAAATACGAAAGAATGTATTTAAGAGTGAGTGAGAGTGTGAATGAGAGCCGAAGTTCAGGGCTGAAATGACCGTTGATAGCCCCTTCAGCCCAATCTCAGTGGCTGGATGTATAAAACCGGCCCACACCTGAGTTTCATGATTCTTGATGCCTGCCGGTTATTTATTGTAAATCACAAAAGTTGGAATTGCGAGAAGTGATAGGCTCAACTCTGTATGTGGGTATGTATGTACATCCATCTGCAGATATGAGCTTAAATAAATCAGTAATAATTAAACAAAACTTAAGGTAAAGGAAAGAAAACAAAATAAAACAAATTCTTTTTCTTACAAAAATTTAATTTATAAATATAAATAGACGCAGAATCAGAGCAAAGTTGAGGTAGTTCATTTTTATAACTTTTTTAATTATAAAAGAGAACAGTCTTGTGATAAAATAAGATGTACCTAGAAAAAAATAAATAAAATACAAATAATACTTTATTAAATATGCATTAATTTTACCCTTGACGAGCCATAACGTCTTCTACTTTTATTGGAATGACATCATCATCACTGCATTTAAACCATGTGTGCCTGGTGTGTCGAATGTAAGCAAAATAATGTCCAGAATTTAAATTAACACCATTATGTTCTACAACAGCATACAATGTATACCTGCAATAATTTAGGTTTTAAAATTGCTTCAAGTAAATTATCAAACAAACATAATATTACGTGTTATCATAAATATCATCTTTTTTGTTTGCAGAAGATTCTTGGCTATAATGTCTTCTATTCCTGTAGCCCGAAACAAAAGGTGACATATTAAGTTCCATCGGAAATGAAATATACAAAGAATTTTTCAGGTGACATTTTTTATCCACCTGTGTAAATCGCTGTGTGCACATAAAATAAATAAAAAGTTAGTATTTTTTTTTAATTTTTCATAAATCAACATTAATTAATGATCATACTTTCAAATGTATAACAATTACTAAGGGCAAAACTTGAAAAGTCAATTGTTTAGTGGTGCACTCATAACTTTTACATGTGTTACACTCAATTTTAACTCCCAGAATTTCTTCACGTGTGAAATTTTTTAAACAATCAAATAAATCTGATGCAGGGGTGTCTGGTATGTCTAAAGATATATCCCGGAAGGGATCAACTTTAGTAGATATATTTCTGTAAAGAATTATATGAGTTAATATCACAAAAATGTGAATTATTCAAAGAGATGTACTACTCACCCACAAGACTTGCAAACCACATCCGACTGCATCTTGCCATTGAAAAGTATGTGAACAATACAATTGCATACCCCCTCGTTGGCAGAATTAACAGGGCATGCAAATTTCTGGAGCAAGTTCATAGCGGTTGTAAAAAATTCGTGAGCATCTTTTTGTTCGTTTCCTTCAAGATTTTTATCACTTCTCCAGACAAGATAAAAAACCTCATGTGGAATCACCAGAGATGAGATTTCTTCAGAATAATACTGAAAATTAAAAAATTAAAAATCAGTACAGTAAATTAATTCTGTAAGTTGATAACAAATTTAATTTATAGGAAATTATATGATACTGAGAATAAAACAGGTTTCAGAGAGATCAGAATTCAGATTCTACAGAAAATTATTTGTACAAATAAAAGTTATTATTTTTCAAATTTATGCTGACAATATAAACATTTCTTATTTCATTATTCTCTTCAGTCTGAAATTTATATTAAATACACAAATTCAATCTGAAAATTATATTAAATAAATACACCTGATATTGTATACTTACTTCTTGGAAAAGGCGAGAAACTGGGCAGTAAAAACATTCACCATTTTTCGTAGACAAACATTTGTGCTTTTCAGTAAAGAAATAATCTCTTAAAATAGGAGTGTGAAACAGTGCCTGCATAATACAGTTCAAATAACATGAGCTTCCAAAATTAATCATCCCTCGAATGCCTAAAAGCAAAACAGACTACACTGTAAAAAAAAGTTTAACTTATCAGTCGAAAAATAAGATATAAGCAATTGTTTTATCCTTAGATTTTTTTCTTACTCAGAACTGAATCCTTCAGTTAGCATTTAAGCTTTTTCAATGATTATAGTTCAAATTTGACTGACTTCACGTATGCACTTATAGTATATGACTAGTATTAATTGAAATTCTAACCTGTTCTGTCATTCAGAAGTCAAACAATGGTAAAACCTTACATAAAAAGATTAATTAATTGAAAGTAGTAATTTGGTCAAGAGACCACTGAATATAATGGATTATACCTATTGTATTTATTAAAACAAAAAAAGAATTTGTGTAGTATATTTATTTTAATTATGTCCCTAAATAATTTTACAATTCATTTGTTTATTAATATCTGACTAAACATAACACTAGCACTTATCAGGTAAAAAATTTGAATAACAATCTTTTGTAAACTACGTCATTGTTTCAAAATATTCTCTTATTCTCTCGTCATTTTCAATTACTGACAGAATTGTTATATACAATCTCAATGTTGCTCTATTTGGTCAGAGGAAAATTCAAAGGAATTGAAAATAATTTACTAACGGATGATATACACTGTTTACCTATCTGCGAATGCGCCTCGAGTTTAATTCTTTTAGGATGTTCTTGTAGTAGTTTATTTTCAAAATTTGATGGTCTCCAAGGGGGTGATTTCGGTATTGCAGAATTGATACCCATACTCCTTTTATGTTTAGTGGCTATAATTTCAATATCTCTATCGTAGACATAATCACCGCATGAAAAACAAAAGACATTGCCATTTGACAATTCTACAGCTAGAAGAACAAAGGTGGAAAGAAAGCATAAATTAAAAACATTGTTTTATTTTATATTTTTCTAAACCAGTATACTGGAGTTATTAGTTTTGTCTATATTTGACACCTGGTAAGAAGTGGATTCATACTACTTTTATTAAATACTCTTTAGACTATATTCATTCTGAATTATCCGATTTTTATATTTGTCAAATCATAAACATAAAAATTTGTGAACATTAACAACACAAAAATGTAACTTGCTGTATGTAGGTGTCAACAATAAACTCAAATTTCACCTTGACTTAAAATCAATAAAAATAAATAAACACTTGGCAATTTTTTGTGTACAATAAATTCAGTGGAGCAGAAAGTATACATACTAAGAGCATGAGCAGTTTTTGTGAAGTGCAGGGTCGCATGTTTGTTATAACATCCCATATAAACGCAATGCATACAGGCAAGAAGTCTACAAACATTATTAAATGATTCGCAGTCGAAGCATGTGGCTAAAACCTAAAAATGAAAGATAAATAACATTAAAAGCTGGAACTCAGTAATAATTGAGTTTATTAAGCTAAATCAAATTGAAAAACAAGATTAAAAGAAAGTGGCAGTGTCAGAGGGCAGGATAGGGAGAGGTCTCTCATATCAAGAGCACTGAGAAGGATCCTCCTCACCCGATTAAGAATAGGCCATACAAGGTTGACACATGGACACTAACTTTTGGGCCAAAGCACACATATGTCAAACATGTAGAGAAAGGTTGCTTGATGTGTTCCTCTTAATTGAAGGGTGCAATACCTTGGCTCCCTGTTGAGAGAACGTAGGAATGCCACCCAACATAGAACTGTGCTCAGCATGGCAGCAAGAATTTCAGTCCCCTGATTTTTGGAGGAAACAAGATTGTTTTATTGCATATAGTACTGATATATTTATGTCCATAGTGTGTGTTGAGAGTGAATGTATTTGTACGCTACGGTACTTATTTCAGAAGTATTTATAAACAATAAATATTTAGGGTTGAAAAGAGAACTCACAACACTTTGCTTCTTTTTACATTACATTTTATTTTAGGGTAATAATTTTCCTCTCTTGCTACAGTTTCCCTACTGATCACCAAGATGGCAGCATCATCTAAATTCATAAAAATAAAGACAAATGCCTGAACAATATTTATTGGAGAGGGCCAATGATAGAATATTGAGTACCCAACCATCCTTAATTAGAGTGGTTATATAACAATGTGTACAGGGTGATGGAGAATATTAAGTACCCACCACCCTAACTGAGTGAATGTTAATTAAATAGGAAAGAGTGTATTTAAGAGTGAGTGAGAGTTGATTTAGGAACTTTATTCACTGGGAGGTGTCTAGGTGTCGATAGCCTCTAGAACCCAACCATGGTAGCTGGACAGATAAGAGCGAGGTATGACCCCAGACTGCCAACACCCGCGGTGGGATGATTCTCAAGGCTGGTCTGTTAGTAATTTATTGTAAATTACAAAAGCTGGAATTGCCGGCGTATTGCAAGAAGCTCTGTGGGTATTTATGTATCTATTTATGTAGTCTTATATTGTGTATAGTTGCTTTATGTAATAAATGCTTTTTTGTTACATACCTTCCAAGATTGAATGTATTAGTATGTTGTCAGAATTGTACGTATATCAATCAATTCCTTCAGCCTAAATGAATGGTGTGTAAGAAAAATGCATTGAAGGATGAGTGTAAATGTATATTTAGGTTTAAAACTTCAGCAATGGGGGCTGAAACAACCTAGTTGTCGATAGACTCTTAACATAACTTTAACGAGTAAATATTTGATTTTATATATCAGAGATGTCCTGTAAGTAACTGTATCTTTTTTCGAAGCTTTCTTTTAAGCCTTCCTCGAGTATCTACATACAATAAGGACTCTACAAACCACATCCCTGATCTCTAAAATTAAATTGTTAATCATCACTGGTCGATAATTCTCCATGTGATTCAATGAGTAAGACTGATAAATCCAAGATCTAACATGATTTAGAAATAATGCTTGGTTCTAGAGTCCAAGTAGGTTCCATAGTTGTCTTTTTTGTTTTATGTGTACGTTCCATGTAAGTATACTGTCCAAGCAGAAACCAAGTGGAATTGGTTGGATTGAAAGATTACTGTGGGCAAGTACTTCTAACTGTGAACGTCACATGCTGGATCTTTTGTGAGGTCTAGGGGCTCCTGGATTGTTTTTGCTGCAAGGATAGGGTCAGAATGTGAAGAGAGGATTGCGGTGTCGTCCCATAGGGGTCATAAATTTCAAGAAAAGTAAACCGACAGGTAAAATTCCAATTAGATAGAATGGACAGATTGATATTTCTTCTTTGGCTGACACTGCCATCTAACTGAAATTTATCTTTACATTTGTATTTTGTTCGTTTTGTTTTAACAACATGGTAAGCTTCAGTTTATTGTAGAATAACTTTTATTTCTTGTTTTAAAAAAAATCAATTTCCATTATCCGTGAACTCTAAAATTAAAAAAGAGTAAAATAATTAGAATTTACTCGGTTCCAACTGACATTCTACATACCTTTTAAACATGGATTTGTAGAAATTATTTATCTAGCAATATGACTACAATTTCAAAGGCATTGTAAATTTTTTTTATGTGCTAACAAATAGATGAGGTCATTTTCCGCCCTATACGAGTTTTCCTTCTATGACGCGCAGTTGTTTAAACTGCAGTTATTTGAGCGTCTCGATCTGATAATTGACTCTCTGATTTTATTTGTATATTATATCGATACAACATACAATACACATATTTTATACACTACCACATACAAAGAAGTCTGGTCTTATTCACTCCCCCAGAGTACTGGATATTCCTCAGGGCGGATTAACAAACCCCTTCCTTTCAAGCTAATAAATTCCATTCATTCCAATAAATTAACATACAAACAACACCCAATACTAAGAGGAGTCTGGTCACATTCATTCCCCCAAAGCATCGTGCAATTAAAATATGTAAATATGAAATTTCGTGTCATTGCATAGTGCATTGAAGATGTTAAAATTCAAACTTATGAAAGGTGATAATGATGGGCTTAATAAATAAAAACAACATTACATAGTAATAGAAGAGGACAGAATTATGAAAGTTTATATAATATAAATAATAACCTGGTTATAATTTAATTGATCTGTTTTCCTTCTGGCTAAGAAGAAGCTGTGGATTGATTTGTAAGTTTGGAGACCGTTTATCTTCTTAAATTCCTTTATGTGCTCGCATTGATTCATCTTCCGATAAAAAATATAAAAACGTCCATTCACGAATTACAGCGCACATCCATATAAAGACTCACTATTTATATTTAAAAAAATTATAATAATAAATAAGAATTCTTCCTTTGACAGTCTTGAAAATATATTGCGAATTTGTAGGGGGTGAAAAAAAATCTGCATATACCTCACGGGGTAACTAATACGGATTTAAAAACTACAAACACGTTAGATTATTATTACGGGTTAAAATAATTATGACAAAACCGTTAAATGTTTCCCTTTTGGAAACCGAAACCCCCAGAATCGGAAGTACACAACACGACAGACCATAGATAATGAAATATGAAATATGAACTTGGTTGGACACTGGAAGATAGGAGGGCTGAATGACTGAAACCCCCTCCTCGACCGATGCCAACGCTATCAAAAACCCCAGGGAAATTAGCGGAATATTCAAAAATAAAACGGTTATTTGACAGAGGTTGGAAAGTCCGGATGAACCCTGGTCCGCATGTTCTCGCTATATTTTCTCCTCAGGCCCTTGACCCTTCTCCCCATTTTGCCCTTTATAGGATCTCAACAGTCTGCCAAATTGTAACAATCCTTCTGCACTACTACCACGGGAACTCAAACCGAAAATGGTCCATTGGCTATATACGACAGCAATAAGATTCAAAATAGCCAACCTATGCATTATTAATCTGGTTAACACCAAAACTCAACAAAAACAAACTATCCAAACATTAGGCAGCATACAAAGATTGGCAAACCTATGTATCACAGGAGCAATGAAAACAACCCCTCAATTATTGAGAGGTGCAATTATTGCACTAGAAACTCTGCTAAAACTACCTCCCTTGATAACATTTATACAAGGAGAAGATAGGAAAAGCTCATTTAGGCTTCAGAAACAATCAAACTGGATGTCAACTAAACACTTTGGGCCCACAACAATAATCAATAAAAAAATTGTAGAAACTTTATTAACAGTAATTCAATAAAAATATATGCATATGTTTATAATTAAAAATAAAAATAAAATAGATACGGCATGGTAAAAGCCATCTGTCAAGGTTGAGCAGATTATATATAAAAAAGATACATATAAGATTAGTTAGTTGTATAAGCTTCCCTTTAAAAGAAGGGATCAAATACATAACTGAAAATAGATACTCTGGGATCGAAGAGGCGACATTTTATTGTAGAATTGAGGAATTAATGAAAAGCAGAATCTAGAATACACAACCAAGAAATGAAACAAGTCCTCTACATCCCCAGAACCCCGCGCAGAACACATTGTTCATCCATCAACTCTCTCCATGATGTATGAGTGAAATAAAGTTCTCCTTGTAATTTAAAAATCCATTTTATTGGGTTGGAGACAATACTTTTGGACAGTCACCTAGAAGGCCACATACATTAAAGCCAGGGTTTAGTTAGATGAGGGTAGAGAAAAAATGGGTAGAAGAAGTGGCACAAAATGCGAAATCTTCTCGGCTAGCTCAACATACTCTGCCAATAACCAATAAAGTAGATAATTGACCATTCCAGAAAGGGATATTTAGAAGTGAATTATCAAACAGAGACATTTATGAGAGAGATCTGTCCAACTTTTAAACCAAAATGCATTTTTGTTTATCATTTCTATAGCAAATAACCTTGGAATACAAGAAGGTAGAATGTTTAACACTCTAAGGCAATTCTTGAACAGAACAGAATTTTATTTACAAATATATACATTATACATTATATAAAATGGTAAAGAGGAGTTTCTGTCTAGCGACACTTACCTCCAGCTAGTTAGAATATAATAAAATTTTTATTATTTACATTATTTTTTCTATCAAGGGAAAAGATTAGATTAGATTAGAAATTAGATTTTAAAAAACAGCTATTAGGCAATTCTTGAAGTGTAGCTTCAGAGTGTGAAGAAACAGAATATCCATCTCCGTCTCGAGATGTAGCATGTAATGAGGCATGGCAGAAGGTAGGCAAACACTTTCTTTATAAAGAAATACTAAATTCTCTCAAGTACCTCGTAAGCCTCGAAACCCCAAACTTGATCACCTTAGCAAGATATAGAGCGACAAATCGCTTGTAACACCTTATATTTACAAGGGAGGGGTAATTAGCTGCTGTTGAGGAAATTTGATCACACCCTACTAATTGCCGTTTTCACGAATGAAACCCTCTGCAATAAGTGTGGGATAAAAGAAAGACGGGTTAAGATAATGCCTAAACATTTTTATAATGGTATCAATAAAATCAGACACCCATTCTTAGAAAATGGGGAGTCACTACATGATCCTGGAAACACTCTTTACAGTTTCAACAGAGCAAGAAGAAGAATTCAGGAGAACATCAGGCATAATGATATGGTATACAGGTGGCTCCAAAACAAATGAAGGAACCAGATTGGTTGTTTTTTGTACAAGCGCAAAATATGAGTATTCAAACTCACTAGAGAAGTCACACATCAGTCATTCAAGCAGAAATACATGTCATCAATGCTTGTCCCTTAGAAAATCTTAAAAGAGGTTTCACTGTCATAAAACCCTCATAAGATCGGATAGTCAAGCAGCTATTAAAGCATTAGCATGTAAAAAATAACATCAAAACTAGTCAGTGAATGCATCCAAAATGTCCCAAACCTGGGAAAAACAATAACTTGATATCTTGGGTACCAGGACACAAAGAAATTTTGAGTAACAAAAGAGCAGACACACGGCCAGATGAGGATATGAAGACCATATCTAGGTCCTGAAGCTAATCTTTTGATAACAAAAACAAACGCAGAATCCCCTATCACAGAATGGATCTAAAAAAGACAAAAATGGAAGTCTAAGTTCAGTACACAGTAAACTTATGCTAAAACAACCCTCACTAAGACTGGCAAACCACTGCTTCAATTAGAGAGGTCTAAACTCAGAGATGTGATAATGCTATTAACCAGTCATAATCTGTAGGTTAATAGATATATACATGTAGAACCGGCACTGGGTTATTTATTGGGTCTGTCCACTCTTGCGGTCTTTTTGAAATAATACATCTTCAGTGAGAAACTGTCAAGGTTTAGTATGTGTTCACCGACTCCCAGAGCACCACCTGCCATCACCTTTACAAATAGATAACTGAAAATTTTGAAATACATAATGTTTATAAATTTTATAATATAGAATTAAAACTAAACGAATAAAATAAAAACAAACCAAATAACACAAAATTATATCTGTGTATGATATGGTACAAAGACACACACATTTTTAATTAGCAAAACTAATTACACACAAAATTATGGAGATATTTAAGTTGATTAAAAGATCAACGATAAAGATCAACTGTTGTAGGTAAAGTGTTAACACCGTTCATTAGTCTAGGTATGCTGGAGTGCTTAATGTAATTGGAAGAATGAGATTTTTTAGAGAAGATAAATTGCTGTCTGGTGTTAAGGAGAAAGTTAAAAAAAGGATATCATCATCAAAAAAAGGATAAGAAAAGGATATCAGGACAGTCAATATGATCATATATCAGTTTGTAGACAAAGAAGATATCAAAATTGAATCTAGAAGTGTACAGAGTTTCAAGTCCAGTTAGTTCATGCAGGCAATCTATGAAGTATCACCAAATGAGGCAAAGGAATGTTTCTGTACAGCCTCCAGTGCATCACTTATGGATTTCAAATGTCACATTCATAATCAAGAGGTCGTACAGGGGCCTTGTAAGTAAGCTGTAGGAATTACTGAAATTTACAGTAGTTTGATTAATAAATCAAAGGGTTTGATAACTCTGTTGATTATAGATTTAAATCTCAAAGCTATGATGAGTTAAGCCCAAAGATTATACAAAGTATTTTTCAGTATGTTAAAGTCTTTGATTGATCTTACAGATTATAGATTCTTAGATCGTTGCCAAATAGTAAAAAAATTAATATGTGGAAAGATTGTTTTTCCAAGACTCTCCGTTCAAAAGACTTTGAATTATCGATTTCTATTAACCGTCAATCCATTATTATTACACATACATACAGGATACTGTCTCTATGTATAGTAAACAGATCGCTACAAGAAATCATATTCACTTGGCTGGGACAGACTATGAATTTTAAAATGTGAACAAAAGTTTTTGTATCAATATGTTAGTGTACATAATGGAAACTGAACATTGTTTGTCCCTGTAAAATAGAATAGAATGTGCATTTTTCATAATTTGTTCTTGTGCAATGGATGGGAACGAGTAGTTTTTTTAAAGGTTTTTCTGTTATTAGCCTATTTAATTAATTGTCACAGCACCAGTTCCAACCTTGCCAGTCAATAAAAGTTGTCCCACAGTAATATTTTTGTGAAAACAATTTTAAATTTTTGATATAAGAAACAGCCTATTCTTAGTTTATAATTAATTTCTGCTATGGCAACAAAATCAAATTTACCATAAATTGACTTTGAGATGACTTTCCATTGTTTCCATAGCTTTCAATTACTTTACAACAAGCTAATTCCATTATCATGCCTTACCGGACACCTTTTCGTTGACACAAATTCCATGATACATGAAGGACAGTAAACAATGGATTCGTACTTCAAAATTTTCAGTTCACCAAATACCAAGAAAAATATAATTAGATCAATTTATTTAGCAGTGAATCTGACAACATTTAGCCATTGTTTTTCTGAATATGGGCTACAGCTCGTAGAGGTAAATTTCAACTGTTGTTACAATTGTCATATTTTTTAGATAACGCGGATCCATTATACAGTGGATCAATAATAAGTCCTCCGTTCGATGGGAAAGTAGTCCAGGAAAGAGGCACGCGAAAAGGTTTATCAAAGGACATCACAGAAACTAATGGCAGAACTTGTAAATCTTGGATGTGCTAGGATTAGAATAATAGTTGGACTGATATCTGGATAGTGCAGACTCCGGGGACATATGCATAGACTCGGAGTGGCAGAAACAAGCCTGTGCAGATATTGCCAAGAAGAAGAAGAAACAGCGGAACACTTCCTCTGTTGGTGCGAAGGCCTATGTAGGCTGAGATCCTGGGAGAAGAAAAGCCAGGGCCTGAAGGATACACATGGGAGCCCTTCAGAAAGCTTCTGGGTCTCGTAAAAAGCCTTAAGCTTAATGAGGAGTTCTAGATAAAAAACTGGAGATGCACAATAGACCAATACTAGTCACAGTGCACCGGTCATAAAGAGGCCAGCTCTTATATAATCTAATCTAATCTAACTATTGTACAATTTTAGTAGGCTTTGCCTGTAAAATAGATAAATAAAGTACACATAAAGAAAAAACCTGACATGTGCTCATTTCAAACTATTATTTCATAGTGTTAAAAACCTGGATTGTGAAAACTCAAGCAATATTCTAATTCCGATTCTAGACCTGATAGTTTAGCCTGGAATAATTGTAATATTAGAAGAAAAAAATTGTGCCAGCGGGCAAATCTGTCGTCACGAGGCATTTTGTAATATTAGAAGTGGTACTGAGACCACATGTAAAGAGCTTTGCCATATTACAGACGTTTAGGGCTTTAGGTACACGTGAAAAACAGATGGGATGAATGAGTAAAGTACCGCAAAGTGAAATAATTCGTATTAAACAAATTTCCCACAACCCTATCTTCTCATTTTTTTATGATGGCCGTTTAATTTAAATATACTTTTTTAGCTTTAAGTATTTTCGATGACCAACTTATTTGTGACGCGGACTTGCAAAAAGCTTGCCCGTTTAACATCTTTCTTTATAAAAGCCGGGTGTATTTGCCACTGTATCAGTGAATATGGACTTTCATTCGCCCAAGTGAGTCTAGTTAATATAAAATTCGACTATTTTTATAGTTTAGACCTGTAATCATTGAATATAAATATATATAAACATAGTTTTAAATTTTATTGTTGATTTAACTGAGTGTTAGTCAGTATTTCTTGCAGAATAAAAGGCTAGATATTTTTTATTCACATTCTGTCGTTAAACCTTAAAATTGTAATCATAGTTAGCACCTATTTGTAGTTGTTAGTACCAATAAGTTTAGATAAACGTTATTACTTTTTTTTATTAACAACGATTTTCTTATTTTTCCCACTTCTAACCGTCAAGGCTGGCGTAAAAATGCACTTCATCGCTGAAAATTTGCACATGTCAGGGTTTCTTTATGTGTAATTGGCCATATTTCAGCCACACTAGAACAAATCCATGGCCATTGGTTTTGTCGATTGGTGAAACCTTTAAAATTTGTCATATTGCAAGTGTGTTGTTGGCTAAATGTATAAATTGTATTGATGGGGCATATTTACCCCATGCGAAAGCTTGAAAATAATACAAAATATCTCATTTGAACAACTTGTGTATATAACTATTTACACCACATAGACCATCATTTGTTTTATTACAATGTGTATTTAAGAAAGTGAAAATATTTGCAAAAACGTTGTCAAATATTGTTGGCAAACAACAGAAAATATGCTCCTTAAAACCTGTACCATATAAAAACAAATATCAATACATACTTTCCATTTCAATGAGTTTAAACATACAGTTTATAATTTTTATCTTGCAATTTCATCCTGAGGGCCTGGGTGAATTACAAAACATATGTTGATTAGAAAAAAATACAATCCAGATGTACATATAAATTTTGAACCAAGTATTTCATAAATGTCGGCAAAAAAAATGAAAAAGATGTTTTTCTAAAATACTTCATTCTTGACGACTCCTTACGACTTCAACAAATTATTGAACAATTGGTCACTAAAAAAACACACACATATTTGTATCTTATAAATTATCGTATTACAAATGTGTTATGTAACTTCATCCAACCCCAGGGGGGTTAAACCTGATATGAAAAGAAAGAGACCATTTTAGAAACAAGGAAGCCTCAAAAAATAACATTTTCTAAAAGGCTCTCATTTCAGTGAATTTTAGGTCAACATCCTGTGTATTTTTAACACAAAACGGCTTACATGGAGTACTTAATTTTTCTCATAATTATAGTGCTTTACAATTTAAAAACTTTTATATCAGGGAATACCTTATATTGTTGAAAATTTTAGAATATGTACCACAAAGCAAATACTGAAATCCTATTTAACCGACTGCTGCTTCAGAGTGAGGTATGACAACGAAATCTCGGAAGTCAAACAGATACAACACGGTGTCCCACAAGGGAGCATTCTTGGTCCCATCCTTTATATCATCTATACTGCTGACCTACCTGCGCATACCAGTACCATCATCCCACTTATTGCTATTTTGCCCTCTAACTCTAATCCTAAGGCACCTCCAACATCCAAGAACACCTTGAACTTATCGAAGACTGTTGATAAAAAGTGAAGGACAAGATGGAATGAAGAAAAATGTACTCAGTGTATGTTCACACTGAAATAACAGTCTTGCCCACTGTACATCAACAACAAAGAGGTACTGACTTCCATTCTAGTCAAATACTTAGGGCTATACCTAGAAGCAGATTGATGTGGAATCCTCACGCAAGACTTAAGAGACAACAACTTAACAGAAGATTTGAACAACTACAAAGAATTTGAGGACCGAATTTGTTTTGGCTGCCACACTTTAACTAACCCTTCAAAAGACATTAGTGCAACCACTTGGACATATGGATTGGAACTGTGGGGTTCTGCCAAGCAACAAAGCATTGAGCGCATCCAATCCTTCCAATTAAAATTCCTCAGACAAATCCTCAATGTTCTTTAGTAGATCACTAACATCATTATCCCCAAGGACCTCAACATTCCTTTTGTCAACAAACTGATCCGTTCCCAATTTCAAAAGTTTCACACCAACCTCTCAATCCATCCCAAGCCTTCACTCTGACTTTATAGAAACAAAATTTTGAAAACGTATTTATTCCCATGCTTGTGGCTGCATGTTGCACAATGCAGTTTCTAAAATCTAAGCATGTAAAGGAGTCATATCCAGTAACTCTTTTATTCAGGTGCCATACTGAATGCAATGGCACAATTCAAAAATAAAATGTCAGTACCATCACATTTAACCCTTGAATGACACGCACATTAAGTCAACGTTTCTGTAAAATCTCTCAAAACGTCACAACAAACCACCATATGAGGGCAAACAATAAAAATTTGTTCTCTTTTTATCAAGAAACAATCCTGTCTCCTTTTTTATTAGGGCCACACAATGCTAATTTGATGTTATTGTGGCAATGCTGTTATCTTTCTATTTTTCTGTACATAAAAGTGCATAAGTTCTGTTCAAAAATGTTCCACTTAAGGTTAGCTATCAAAATATTTTTGTCTCGTAGTGGACAATTTTGAAGTAATTCAATAGTACCAGTACTTCCAAAATTTCCTTGAGCCATCAGTTTTAGAAGATTGTGGCTTGTGAAAGACTTTAGTGTCAAATTCATGTTAGAACATACTTGCTAGTACGGTTATTAAAATAATTGACATATTACTAATATGATAAATCTTTTCTGGAAGATAAACCTGATTATTTACAAACTGCACCATTATTATTTTAATGCCTACTGGTGAAGCGGGATATCAATTACCACTTATGAGAACCCAAAAGGTTATTTTGACTTCATACTGTTTGATAATGCTCTCAAAATTTACACCACACAAAAAAGACAGGACTTAATTTTTTTTCTCTCCATTTTTGAGCCAACCAGCAAATTAAAGAGATGACTGATTAAGAAGCTGCTTTAAATCCCTCTGTTTACAAACTCTTACAGACAAATATTAAATTGTGAGATTTCCTCTTGAGGTCTGTGGGGTGATAAACCTTTGGCCAAGGTCGTTTCTGATCATTTGGGTCTGCCCATCCTTGCTGTATGTAAAACCCACTACTGATGATGGCGAAAGGCCAAAGCGCGTCTAACAGGCCAAAATGGCTGTAAATGGCCAAATTATACGCAAATATTAGTTTGAATTCTATTGCAACTTCAGTAATCTTTTGAGTAAGTCTTTTGAATCTCGAAACAGGGTTTTTAAAGATGTGACAGATTTTTTCTACTGATGCTGAGTCTAAAAATTTCAAATATTTCATGCAAATTTTTTTTTAATTTTTAAGTCAAACCTTTTATTTATAGTTATAAAGTAAGGAAATATATAATCTTAAAATGACTTGTTGAATGTTTAGTGTGTCGGGCCATCCATGGAACCAACGATTTTATCATCAAATGTCGTTATATGTGAACATATAACTCCCATCTTCCGACGACCAACATATGGCGATATAGTTATAGCCAAATCTGTTAGTGATCCTTTGGTTAATGTTTGTAAACGGGTGACCGGAATCGCTGGAGACATCATTTGGACAGGATGTAAATTTACAAGAGTAAGTAAATTAGCTTTGTATATGAAAACAAAAGGTTTAATTAAATATTAATTATTGCAGGTCCCACAAGGACATGTTTGGCTTCAGGGTGATAATTCATCCGAGTCAACAGATTCTAGAGTATATGGTCCAGTGCCTGAAGCTTTAATTAGAGGTCGTGTTTCTCTAAGGATTTGGCCTTTACGCGAGATGTGTGTATTTTGGTAAATCCAGGCCTATTATTAACAGTCAGGTATTGGAAGTAGTTTGAAATAATTATATTTATTTTTCGTAATTGGCTTTCTTTGTTCCAGAAATAAGAGTTACTATGGACATCCTTGTCTTTTTGACAAAGATACAGATAAATATGTCCACCAAAATTTAGTCAATCTCATGAACAATATTGGTTATATTATTATAGTTATATTATACTCAATTGCAATTCTTACAAATATTATTTGAACCTAAGCCAGCATTTTTTCTGTTTGAAGACAGCCTAATGGTTATGTTAAACTTTTAAATTCAAAAATAAAGTAAAATTATTATGGAAACAAATTTTCCCTTGTATTGATTGGCTTTGTCTGTTAATTATATTCTCCGGGCAAATGTATGTTTTTATTTTTTATATTATTTAATATTACATAAAAAATAATTATAATGATAAGTAAATATTTTTAAAATTAATCTAATACTTTACAATACCTTTTACATATCAGTAACAATTAAAATTCCATGGGCTGTGCTAGGATTCAAACATTGAACTCGTTATGGCAAATAGGAGTCAGGCAGCAGCGTTATATCACATATTTTACTCCGTAAATTTAACATTTGTTAAACATGCTTTATCATACCACCATCCAATATGGCAAATACATAGTAGCTGACAAATCATAATAATGCTTGAAGGATGAGAAAATAGTAGGGGCAAATACTTATTATACCACAATCACAATTTCGATTTTTATTAATTATTTTGCCTGTTCTTAATTAAAATTTTTATGACCCTAACGGTTTTATGTAAAACTGATGAATCATGATCATGTTATAAGGAATGAGAAAACATACAGACTTAAGATTTTGATTATTGTTGATTATAGTAAATATTTAAAGAACTTCATCTTGCATTTACGATGAAAGAAAAGGAGATCCAGATGAGGTCATCAAATAAAAATCAAGTGCATTTCTTCTTGCCAAGCTTTCAAAATATATACTGATGGCCAAATTTAAGGCACCACTCAATTTATTTAGTTGGAAATTAAATCCATTATCTTTCTTCATTAGTTACAGGTAATTAGGAACTACCATAGTAAAAACAAACAGCAAATAATGATTTGTTAACTTCTTTTATTTACTTTTGTACTGATTAATCATATTTGTACAAGAAGTAGTAGCATTATGCCCTTTAATTCAGCCTCACCTAAAGATCGCTTTCAGTTAATCTTTTTCCTTTGTTTATTTCATTTGATATTATTCTTATTTTTAAACTTTTTTCAATGGCTGCAGTCAGACATTTGAGTGAGTATGACAGTCTCGGAGAGACAATAGACGCTATCAAGCTCTATGAAACAGCAGCATTATGGGAAATGAGTTAACAAATTTAAAAAGGCAATTCCGAAATGTTTCATTTTCCTCCAGAATGGTAAGAAAATAGCTCAATGAAAATAAACTCAGGGCCCGAAACCTAGCTCGTGGGCCTATTTGTACCACAGCTCAGAAAATGGCCAGGCAAATCATTTGGACATAGGAAGATAGGGGGCGAGTTTTTATCAATGAGGTGAGTCGGCCTCAAATCTTCAGATGGGTGTAATTTCATATGGAAATGCTCAGGAGAAAGGCTGTAAGGGTCCTCAGGTAGCATTCCATGGTGGGCCATTGATGTTCTAGGGTGGCATTTCCTTGGACACCCGCACCGAATTGTTTGTTGTGTGAGGAATATCTCTAACTTCACAGAGGTACTTACAAGACATAATAGATGAGCATGCAGTCCCCCCCACATCAGTGAGAGATTCTTGCTAATGCAGGATAATGCCAGGCCTCATAGAGATGACTACCTAAATAAGGTTTGTATTTACTGCTTAGTGTGGCCAGCTCAAAGTCCAGATTTGAACCCAATTTAACATATTTCAGACCAACTTAAGCAATGAGCACGATGGTGAAACCCGGTCCCAACTGTTCTTGATGAATGGGAAAGAATTCCTCAGGATTTTAACAGATATCTTGTCCAAGGAACACAAAGACGTTTAACGGGCGTAATTTGTGCCAGAGGTAGAAATACTCGATATTAAAAAGGACAAAAAAGTTTTTTTTACATTTTTATTTGTTTTTGAATTTTTTTGATACTTTTTTAAAAGGGTTTTTAGGGGGTTGATGCAGAATTTTTTACTCAATAATTTTTTTTTAGAGTTTGATAATAAACATTTTCTTTTAAAATGTCTTATTTTTACAACCAAACCTATTTTTTGTATGTAAAATAAGAATAAACCTAAATACAGTAAAATTTAGAAGCAGTGCTTTTATTTTGTCCATCAGTGTATTATTACATCATCAGGGCTCAAATCAATGTTGTTTTAATGAATTTAAGCCCTGCTGATGACGTGCCAAGATAAACAATCTTCTTAGGTGTCGATTGTGACATTTTTTATGGGTTTTTTTATTTAACAAGGCACGATGGAATTTTTGTTTACAGTACCTTTTATTTGCTTTTTAATTGACATTATTTAGGTATCTTTTTAAGATAATGGTGTTCTATTGTCAGAGGCTTTTTCCGGATCATAATTTCACGGTTACCATTGATCCTATCTAATCTCTAATCCTACGGCAATCGGGCCGATTAAAAACGTAGGCAATAACCGGAAAAACGGTAGTAAAAGAATAAAATTGAATAAATCCTCGTTCAAAGAATCGAGAAGGCCGGCTTTCCGGTCGCCAAAGTTGGAAATTGGCGGGTCGAAAGTCGGAGCTGGCCTCGGAGTGGGAGGAGCCTTGAGATGACGGCGTCCGACGTCCGTGCGCCGTAGAAGAGCTGCCGGATAAAAAGGAGGGGAATCGGCGCTGGAAAAGGCCATTCACGACTAACCACGTGCTCTACGGAAGGTTAGCTCCTTCTGCTGTTTACGGAGTCGACCGGCGTTCGCCTGCAATTATTCTTCACGGAAGAGATTCGAGGATGGCCGAGCGTTTGATCTGCGGAGGCTCCGGCTACGTGCCCGACGACGGACTCACGGGGGCTCAGCTCTTTTCCAACGGAGACGGCCTGACTTACAAGTGAGTAGGACGAGAGACGAGCCATCTCCTCGCTCTCCGTCTCCTCATCCCCCCGTTTACGGAGCTCTGTCAAGCTCAAGACGGCCACTGCTTCTCACGGCATCACTGCCCTAAGCCTTTTACCGTTTTTATCCAACCCTAACTCAGCTCCTCTTTTAATACGTAACATTCTCAAGATTTTTTTTTCCAATTAATTAATACATTTAAAAAAAAAAACATGATTTTCTATGGAAATACGAAAAAAATACACAACTTTCCTGTTATTGTTGCGTAACAAGAAACTTTAAACTCTTAACTTGATAGGTTTCTCAGATATTTTTCTCTATTCCTCCCCACTCCTCCAGTTATTTTACACTTATTACATTTCACTCGTCATCACATCTATAAGACTTACCGATTAAAAATTGAAATAAAAAAAAGACAAAAATACAACAAACATTAAAACACAAAAGTTCTCATCATGCTACATCTACCCATCTGAAGCTGATAAACAATCATTTTCCTTATTTTATAATAAATTTTGTAGTTTATAAGTGTAATCTTACATTAAGCTTATAGTAAACACAATAAGCTTTCTAGGACCGTCTGTACTAGCTAAATTTGGTGGCCTTGCTTGGCTTTTATAAGACTTTTTTCGTTGCATGCAGTTTTACTGCTAATTGTAGTGAAGTTGTGGAAACTTAATTGAAAAGCATACCAAATTTGGTGAAGTCAAGTTGAAGAGCAAACTGGTGAAATTTTGTCATAATTATGAATTTCTTTGTTGATTTTGAACTTGTTCAACTTTTAAAAGACAAACTTCCTATTTGCTGATGTATGAGGCTCGGCTATAAGTTTGTTGTAGTCCTGGAAACTTGACTCATAAGCTCGCCTGATTTCGTGAAATCATGTTCATCCTTCTGCAAACTGGTGAAAGTTTGTCATAATTTGGTTTATCTACTCGTTCTAAGTTCTAAAGAAAAACTTACTCAGTTTGGTGGTCTTATCCTTTGAGAATGGTCTGGTAAACTTTTTTCTTTGGCGGTTTATGCGATTGACTAAATGTGCTGAAGTTCTAGCGTGTGGAATTCACAAGTACACAAAATTTGGTGAACTCTTCTGCAAAGTGTTGATCGTCATAATTTTAGTTTTCGACTGAATTTAGTCAAGTTCTGAAAGCTCACTGAATGTGGTGGTCCTGTTATATGAGTGATTGACTGAATTTGATTGGATTGCGAACTGGTGAAAATTGGTCATAATTTCAAATGTAAACTAAATTTTATGGTCTTATTCTTTGAGACTGGACTGGCTAACATTTGCCTTTAAACTTGTCAAGCTTAGAATTTTATCTAACAAAGTCGATCACTTGAAGGTAAATATTAACTTGTTGATTCATGAAAGAACAAGGTCACCAAATTTATTTTACCACCAAATCACCACCAACTGGCAAGTTTTGAGAGCTTGAATAGTACTCACAAAAGTTGATCTTCTTGTTCTTTGAGGCTGAATTTGTGACCATGTCTTTGGATGATCGACTGAACTTTCTATAGTTTTGGAAACTTGACTGATAGCTCAAACAACCACTAAATTTGGTGTAGCTTTTATTCTTTGCGAACATTTCTCCTCAAAATCACTAAATTTTGTGAAAATATGTTATTTGAGTTTGTGAATTGTTTAACATTTGTTGGTCAACTAAATATGGCAAAATTGTTGAACTTCACAAGCTCTCTAAATTCTGGAGAAGAATTGTCTGTGGACTGTTTATACTTGTTTTGGTTAAATTTTATACGATTGAATGATGAATTGATTTTACAAACCCTTGTCAGTCTTAGAGTTATTAAATGTTTATCATCACTTTGACATTCGTGAAAATGTGACAAAAATTTCACCAAAATCTCTACAAAGCCTTTATTACATACATATAATTAGAAACATTGCAAGTTAAGTGTGTAGGTGTTGAATTCAGTTAGTAAAAATCTATTTGAGCACTTTTTCAGTTAAAAAATATATTAAAAAATCCAGAAATTATTGATATGTAAGCTGATGCCATGTTAAAATCATTGATCCTTTCAATGTGATATGTGTTCTCAGTGATTTTTTCCCCTCTTATATAACATGAGCCAGCCGTCATCATAATCATGAAATTATCTGATCAAAAAGTTTTGGTTGTTTTGTAATCCAAAGCGAGCTATTAAATCAAAGTGGTCAATTATCAAAATTGACAAATCAAAATTTTCTTATTTTTAAGACGAATAAGATGGAGTTGTAAAAAAATTTAGTGCTGAATTTTATGAGCAATTTTGTCATGCAATTACAACAAAATTTACTTTTTTAAACTTTGATTTGATAAATATATTAAATTAATCAACCATATACTTGAACCTTAAAATGCCAGTTTAAACTGTTGGCCTATCAATTAAGTTGATATACATTATGAAAATTGTGTTGTACAGTGAGAGAATGTCATTTGTTTATTATTTGGTTCCACAGTGTTGAGAAAATATTGTTAGTGTTTATATCGGCATTCAAGGTGATCAAATATATTATTTAGAAAATATGGAAATAAATCATGTTTGATTGTTTTACTTTTCATTCATTAAGACAATTTTTCACTTTGAGATAAATTTGAAATAAAAGAACTATTAGGCAAAAATCTGACCCCACCAAAACCAGCCAATTTTCCCCTCATGTTTTAATAAAAAAAATAGATTGTGGAAGTTGCATGAGAGAAAACATTTGTTTGACAAAGTTGCCTGATCCACCATTTGAAAACTTAAACTTAATCAGTTTTAATTGTGGTTGATTTTTTTTCTAAGCTTTTACCCAATTGTATTTTTGAAACTAATTATAACTTGTTCTGCAAGTTTTTTACATATTGTAATATTTAATTAATGTAGCTTGGTCATATCGTATTTTGTCACAGACCAACAGATGACAAAATACTATTTCTGACAGTCAAGACCAGCTGATCATGGTGACCATCATATCAATCACGTTGCAGACTACTCAATATTTCACAAGTTAATTACTTTTTATATTATAAAAGTTTAAAAAAAGATAATGCTGACTTAAGCTGTTAAACAATATGAACCCCCCCCCTTCTAAAGCAGAGATATATGAAGTCATATTTAGATTGATATTAATGCGTGAAAAAAAAATTATATGGCGTTCTTACAAGTTTTTTCCTTACAGTGATTTTATATTGCTGCCAGGATTTATCGATTTCACATCTGATGAAGTTGTAAGTTTTTCAATTCCGATTTTAAAAAAATTGAAAAGTCATTGTGATCGCTTGTTTTTAGGACCTAACTTCAGCCCTTACAAAGCAAATCACATTGCAAGCTCCATTAGTTTCTTCACCGATGGACACAGTGACAGAATCAGACATGGCTATCGCTATGGCTGTAAGTTTATGAAAATTATGCCTTCTTTCAGTTTTAGTAACATGTTTTTTTTCAGCTCTGTGGTGGTATTGGTATTATACATCACAATTGTACTCCTGAATACCAAGCTAATGAAGTAACTAAAGTTAAAAAATATAAACATGGGTTTATAAGAGATCCTGTAGTCCTTTCTTCTTCACATAAGGTTTGTATTCTTGTGTATAAATATACTTTTTTTATCCTTATGCGTAAATTATCAAAACAAACAGTGTTATAGTATTTATTTCACTTTTGGTCTTATGCACTATTATAAACTTATAATCAAACGTGTGTAATGTAGATGTATAATTCAAAATTAGTAGTAGCTGACTTATTTGTTGTAAGATGTTAACTAATTTGTATTCCCTTTTTAACTAAGAAAACATTAGCATTTATAAAGTTGTTATATCTGCTTTAAAGTCACTCGTAATTTCCTATGCTCAGGTCATATTTGCATATTTTAAGTGATTCCTGTTGTACAGCAGGGCTTAATGCTACATATTGGGTTTTGTGGATGATGGAGTTAAACCAGATAAGAATACTTTTTCCAAATCATGCTCAATTAAAATTCAATGGGCTTTGCTAAATAAAGGTCGCTTAAAACAAAAAAGCGACAAAGTTTTGGGCCATTTATTCAAGGTTGAACAGTTGTGAAATATGTCTGTATAATTTTATTCTTGTTGAGATGTTTTAAAATGCGTTGAAATTTTAGGTGTTCAACCCAAAAGATTCTTTATAAAAGATATCCACACTATAATCCATCTTGTGCACCTTGCCAAAAACTGAACTTTTGAACTGAACACAATTTCGTGTTCTTTAAGGGTCAAAATATTATATTGTATATAAATCTTTTACCATGGTTAAATTGGAAAATATTTTAGACCATTCATTATGCTCTCTAGGTTCTTGGTGTATTGTTAGATACTTGTTATTTTTTTACAAACCTAGCAGGAAATTACAGTGTGTCTTGTTTACCTTAATGAAATCCCAACTATTATTTGAATCATGTTGAGTAGGCCAACATAATTATTGCTATGCACAATAGCATGTGTTATCTTTTGTATTTCCATTGGTTTGTTCCATCATGTGCCCAAACCGTCAGTAATCTGTCAGTCGGCCATTCAGTCATATTTTCAGACAGGCTTATGAATGGTTTTCGACTGTTGAAACGGTCCAATAATTTTACTAGGGACTGGCAGAGACATACGCAGATGTTTTCCTCACCGCTTTTGCTCTTGTCAAATTGCAAGTTCTTACTCAACTAGGGACCGAATTTACATGTGAAATAAAATATAAATATGCACATATACATGTATTTCTTTTTTGAACAAATACCCAAGTAAAAAAAAAATAAAATAAAAAACAGTTGTGCATTTTTGTTTAAAGATTTTTTTTACATATATTAGTTCAAAAATGTGTAATAGAGGAAGAATATAACAAGTTAATAAAATAAAAAATAAACCTTTAATTTATTTGAAATAACGTACATTTTTAAAGTTTTGTAAATAAAAATGTATCTTTCTAGTGCTAAAAAAATCCTATGAAATAAAAATGCATTAAAAATATATTTATTAAAGAATTGTACAAGTGAAGTCATTTAACAAAATTATAAATGATTAGAAAAAATTCAGTTGGGGGTAATTTATTGGCCATGTTCTTTAAATTATTTAAATATCATTAAATTATTAATTAAATATTATTAAATATAAATAAATAGTATTTATTTATCCATTTTCATAGTCAATTGACTAAGACTTCTTTCAATCAATTAATTATTCTTTCTAAGGTCTGGCTGAGATAAAAAGTTAGTGTCACGAGCGGGATTCGATTATTTATTTAGTTCAATTAAAAAAAGTTCCATGTGGTGTATTTATTATAGGGGGAGAAAAAAATTGATAAATTCTAGAAGGGAGGAACAGTTGATATCATTTTTTATAATTTTGAATACAACTAATAAGTTATGGGGAATTTCACTGCCAATTGCCAGGAATTCACATCCATTACAAAATATCACAATGAACATGAAATATATATCAACAAAAAGTCCGTTTGCAATTTCAAATGTTTCGATGTTTCCCGCCTAAACTGTTGGAATCCGAGATTGGAAAAAAGTGCTCCATCAGAGTTAAGAATTCGTGATCCGTCAACGTTTGGGTATTGCAGTAAAAAATCATGGATTAGTTCGCAACTATGTGTGTAAAGCAAGTGGTTTTTAAAGTTTAAGTAAATTATATTCGTGTGGAATGTTTGAGAATTAAAATGTGATTAGATATCTTCGGTCGTCTGTATGTATGTAATACCAAAAATGGAAATGCTAGGACAAAAGAGAAGAATATGAAATAATTCTTCTATCAATCACATATCCAATCAAACCGCATCAAGGAGTAAACAGTTTGATTGATTTTTGTGATTGATTAATTTTTTGTTCATACTTTTAAACAAAAAAATTTTTCTTTTTGTAAAATTTTTGTTTAAACTTATGAGCACTGTAAAATTTAATTTTTAATAATTATTTTTTTAAGTTCTTACTAACTTGTTTACTTGTTCATCTGTACTATATTAATCATCATATCATAATACTGGAAAATGCACACAGACTTCTTTTTTTTTTCTAGTATTTTGTGTGCTAAATTTTCCCCTTTCTACTTACTTTACATCATCAATTACTGTTTTCCATCAGGTTGCAGATGTTTTCCATGTTAAAAAAGAGCATGGTTTTTGTGGAATTCCTATTACTGAAAATGGGAAACTCGGTGGAAAATTGTGTGGAATTGTCACGTCCAGGGATATAGATTTCTTGGAAGATACTAATAGTAAAGAATTGTCTCTGCGATCTGTAAGTTTATCAATAATTGTTCTTTTTTCCAGATTTTGTTAACAATTAGGGTTTTTTTAATGATTAAAAAATAAATTAAGATTATGATGCCTTTAGTTATCAAAGGAGATTAGAAATCATCTGGATTTTCACTGCCATTTCACCCAACAATTTGTGTTTGTAATAATACATATTTAACTGCTGAAAGTTTAAACAATCCTCATTGATTTTGTAATATCAAGTTCAATTTACACTCCCCGGCAAACCTATAGGCCACTCCTCATTTTCTTCGTTAAGGGTTGTAGGAAATATTAAAATTTAACCAAAACATGAAAAACGTTAATTACAAAAGTACAGTTGTAATACTTCTTTCATTCTATCTGGCTCGTTGTTTATGAATATTTGGTATTATAATACATATCAATATTTACATCCAACAAAAGAATAGGCCACTCTTTATCTAAATCTCCTGCAAAAATCATCTTTATCGGAGAGTGAGATGGTATTGCTGGAAAAAAATTTAGTTTCAAAAATTGCTTGAACTTTGAATAGAAGTAGGCACATAATAATTAATTTTGTTAGGCTCGGCGATGATTATGGCCAGATGAAGAGTACAGGATGGCCTATGGCAACAACTACTAGAGAATGGAGGGCCATTCTATGCCAAGCCTCCAATTCTGCAGCCTCTGCGAGAGAAATTGGCTTACAAGCTGGAGTTTCCACGAATGTCCGAAAGTCCAACGCATTCTACAAAGAGCCTGCCTTTTAATGTGGATGAAACTAAATTCAAACTCCCTCTATCAAAGGCCCAAAAAGCCAATAGGTCCTGGTGGATTTTGATATTTTCACAACCTACGAAAGGAAAAGTACTGTTGAGCCTATGTCAAATGGTGGAGGTGACTTGGGCTGGGATTGGTTACTATGGGAAAACAGAATTAAAATTTTGCTGAGCAAAAATAAATGCACAGAAATAAATAGAAATTATTAATGAACCAATTGTTGAACGAGGTGAAGAGCTGACAAGAGGAAGGTTCATTTTCAGCATGGCAACGCCCCTGTCCACATGGCACATAAAGTAAAAAATTTCCTTGAAATAAAAAATATTTTCATTTTGCCATGGCCTGCCAGATCACCAAATCTAAATTATTGAAAACTGTTGGGGAGAGCTGACTCTAGCTGTTTATGCACAAGGGTTTAACTCCACAGGGGAACTCATAGTCTTCATAGTAGAAAAATGGAACATCTGACAAAAATACATAAAGAAACCGTCCAAATCTCTTCCAAAAATGACTGGTGGAAGTCTTGGAGAACCATGGAGGATCAACGCACTAGTTAGATAAATAAAAAATGAATAAATACGTTTAAAAATAAAATAAAAACACCTGTATTTTAGTCGTGTTGAATTTTCAAGTTTTTTTTTCCAGGAATACTGTTTATTACTAACATTGTTAATTAGTTTTTTGAAATTTTGTACAACCTAGATTAATTTTATAAGGTCTTGACCTCTAGAAATATTATCTTCGAAAAAAATTGGGAGTGGTCTTTAATTTTGTCAGGGAGTTTTTCTTGTTTTCAAATACATCCTATAGTTGCTAAAGGCATTTTTTTTTGGTGGTGGTGGTGCTAGACAATTAAATTTTTTGTGGCCTTGCAGAATATTTTGTTCCTTTGTGTTATGTATTGTGTTTTATGCTAAAAATAATTCTGTATATTTTGGTTGTTCATTTCAAAATTTAACCGTGTTTCTTCCATCAGTGTGAGCAACATATGGCAATATTCCTAACTACCTACTTTTGCTGCTTTGGTTTCAGACCTTAAAATATTAATTATGCACACATATACATATATATTTGATAGCTGTATTCACATAGTTTCATAAGATGTCATATTAACCATTATATTATTAATAATAGTAATGTCAGGGAAAGGTAGCTTGTAATATTTTCTCTAAACGGTACTACAAAATGTGCTTGTTTGAAATGTCAACTTTTTCATTATTAAATTCGGTCTCAGCTGCTAATAGTTTGATTATTTTTGATTTTATTATCTTCTATTTTTCTCCAGGACAAATATTTTTATATTAAATTAACTTTAGTTTTAATTGATTTTCTTCTAAAGTTTGCTTCTTTTCAAAGATATTGAAGGTTACTTTTTGTTGTTATTATTAAGACCAGTCACAACAGGTTTTTTTTTTTTTTTTTTTTTTTTTTTTTAAATTATTGTATGATGTATTTCAAAGTAGCCTTAAAATTTTAGGTATGCCTCACCTGGTTTACTTATTAAGTTTTATATTAACTTGCATATACTGGAATTTTGTACAAAGGTTTCATTTTGTCTCGTAAAATAGTCCCATGATTTGGAAAGAATATAATTGCTACTTTTTAAACGTTTTTGGTTTCTCCTATTGGGCAGTGTAAAGTTTTAATAATTGCTACTTGTTAATCATTTTGGGCTTATCATATTGAACAGTGTAAAATTTAATTAAATACATGTCAAAAAGTGTCTCATGGACAAAACTTGGAATCAAACCAAAGACTTAAGTGACCTATGCGATAATAGTTAGTGCAGTACCAATATATTGCGTGGGTTGTCCACGAGAATGACTTTTAACTTTAACGTTAAATTTACATATGTTTAAATACCTGCTGGCTACAACATTTTATCTATCTTTCTCTATCTCTCTTTTTTCTTTTTCCCCTCTCCATCCCCCTTTTATTCTCTTTTTCTTTCTTGCTAATGAATATTTGTTAATTGTTATTTTATACCCTAACTCACCCAAGCATTTTGTATATGACACAAGTAATTCAATTTTCTGTTCATATTGTAAAAGTAATAATGAAATTCTTAATGCAAATTGAATTGTTGAAATGTTAAGAAGTACCTTCTTTTTTTTAGTATAAAAATTGGTTTTAGGTAATGACACCATTAGATAAAATTGTATCTGCCCAGGCAGGTGTGACTTTAGAGGAAGCTAATTGTATTCTTGAAAAATCTAAAAAAGGAAAATTGCCTATAATTAATGAAGACGGTGAACTTTTGGCTTTAATTGCTAGAACAGATCTGAAAAAGTCAAGAGATTATCCGAATGCATCGAAAGATGAAAACAAGCAGCTTTTAGTAGGAGCTGCTATTGGAACTAGGCCAGAAGATAAAGAAAGACTGAAAGTGCTTGCTGCAGCAGGTGTAGATGTTATTGTTCTAGTAAGTGTTATTATTTATTATTGAAGTTTGTTATTGTCTTTTATATTTTTATTGTATTAAAGGTTAAGTATTATTAAATTAGCTGTGAGACTAACTACAATTAAGATTTTTTTTCTCAGGATTCTTCGCAAGGAAATTCTATTTATCAAATAGAAATGATTAAATATATAAAGGAGAGATATCCAAAACTACAAGTAATTGGAGGGAATGGTAATTAAGCTTAATAAGTCAGTTGTGTATTATGTTAATATTTTCATTTCATAATTTCAATAGTCAAAATTATATTTTGAATTTGCACATATTAAACGACAGTTTTGTTGTAATTTGATCATCCTGGTCTTATGGTTCCTTTTTTCAGTCAAACCCATTTCAATGTTCTACTTCTGACAATATATTTCTTATTTTGCCAATACACCAAAACCCAGTTCAGACACCCCCTTATCATTTTATAAAATAGTAAAAGTACACGATTGACAAAGTGACATAGGCTAACCATTGGCCATATAGCTAAATTCAGAAATGTGTCTTACAGATTAAATTGGTATATTGTTTTAAACTTAAATTATTTGTCATTGTTCTATAATTTTCAATTATTTTAGTTGTCACTGCAGCCCAAGCAAAAAATCTGATAGATGTGGGTATTGATGGGCTTAGAGTTGGAATGGGTAGTGGCTCCATATGCATCACACAGGAGGTAATGGCTGTGGGAAGACCTCAGGGTACCGCTGTCTATAAAGTAGCTGAATACGCTCGAAGATTCGGAGTACCAGTCATTGCAGATGGCGGGATTCAATCTATTGGCCATATTATTAAAGCGTTGTCTTTAGGAGCATCCACAGGTATGATTGGGTGTCTGAATACTTCTCATAAAGGCAAAGCTAATATTTGTTATCAATGAAGTGATGATGGGCTCACTGCTTGCGGGAACTTCAGAAGCTCCAGGCGAATATTTTTTCTCTGATGGAGTAAGACTTAAAAAGTACCGAGGCATGGGGAGTCTAGAAGCAATGGATAGAAAAGACGCAAAAGGAAGTGCCATGGATAGATACTATCACAGGTAATAATACATTGATTTCTACCACTTATCATTTTACCATCAAGTGAAAGGTAAAACCAATAAGTCCTGGTTGGAGATTTTTATTTTATGTAAAAAAAAAAGTTTGCTTTCCTTAAACACTACATACTCTAACCTAATTTAGCCCATCCTTAACTCTAACCTAGCCTATCTCTACCTCTAACCCTCCAACCGACTTAGCCCATCCCCAACAGTAACTCTACCTACTCTACTCTAACATAACTCTAATCCTACCTATCCAACTTAATCTGTTCCTAACTAACCTTTCCTACTCTAACCTAACCTGTCCCTAACACTACCTATCCTAATCCAACCAAACCAAACCAAACCCATTCACCCTCACAAGGAATGCAAAAAATGACATGAAATAGTAATGCAGCCTAACTTGTATCATGAATATGTAGAACCTGACCTACCCTAACCTAAATTAACCCATTCCTAACCAGCCCTACCAGCTCTAACATTACATAACTGCTTCCAAACTATAACCTTATCTAATGTATAAATAATAATCCTTTTTTAAGATTAAGAAAAACAAATAGTACAAAGTACAATAAGCATAGCTAGGAGCTGTCTGCTGAGTTCATTGCATAATAAAGCTTGTTAATAACCTAACTTACCCCATCCATAATTCTGGCCCTACTTACTCTAACCTAACTTAACCCCAACCAAATTTTAACCTCATATAATATACAAATAATAATCATTTTTTAACATTGAGAAATAAAACAAATGGTACAAAGTACAATAATCATGGCTAGGAGCCGTCCACTGAGTTAATTGCATGGTAAAGCTTGTTATTAACCTAACTTAGCCATATAATTCTAGCTCTGCCTACTCTAACCTAACCCATCCCTTACTTTCTATCCTAACCTAACCAAAATTAATTATTGCATTATGACACAATAAAAGTTTCAATAAGAACAAATATAGCAGCAAATCATCTAACAAAATGTTAGGATCAGTCAATATGCTGTAATTTATATATTATACTATACAATATTATATTATATTATACTATATTATATTATATTATACTATTATATTATACTATACATTCATGCACATATTTATGTCATGTGTACAGGTTTTTTCATCTTACATCAACACCATAAGTACTTGGTTTTGCTAAGTTTTATTCCCACACAATTAAAAATGAGTACTTAAATAGTACCTTAGTAGTGTAAATTATTCAGTAGAATCTAATCATCCTCATCTTCTTCAGTGGTGGATTTGTTGAATAAATGCTGTAATATATCTTCCCAAGCCAGTGAGGACAATCAGATCAAAATGATAGGCAATGGCAGCAATGCAAGTTTATCATCCTACAGACCTTAAGAATAAATCTAATAATATAATAATTTTTAATCACCAGTGAATGATTTTTCAATAACAATCATGCAATAATGAATGAGGACAAACAACGAGTAATTAATAACATGATAGTCAATAGGTTATAAAACCAGAATTTTATTTTTAACTATTCAACTAATTTAACTAATAAATTCTACACTTAACGAATAAAGAAATATGCATTAGCACTATTTGGCTCAATCTATTTTTTTAATTAAATTAAAATTTAAATCAAATGATATCATGTAAATTATTACCATATGAAATTATTAATTTCATAAATTGTAACTCAAATGTCACAAGAAATTCCAGCAGAATTTAAAAAATACAAATACAAGTGGATAAGATTATTAAAAAATTATTAGTAAATGTACATTTTCTCATATCTGCAATAATAATATACATATATTACATATAATAATAAGCATGGCTAGGCCATATATATGCTGAGTTATTGCATAATAAATCTTGTAATTAACCTGACCTAACCCAACCCATCCCTAACTCTACCCTACCTACTGTAACCAAGCTTAGCCCACCCCAAACTTTAACCTTGTATAATATATAAATAATAATCCTTAAGCTTGAGAAACACAACAAATGGTATAAAGTATAATAAGCATGGCTAGGAGGCATATGCTGAGTTAGTTGCATAATAGTGTTGTTAACCTTATTTGCCCCATCCATAATTCTAGCCCTACCTACCCCAACTTTACATAACCTGTCCCTAACGCTTTTCCTACTCACTCTAACCTTACCTAACCCCCCTAACTCTAAACCCTGCCTGGTTAGAGAACCTAACACATCACTAACACGACCTATCCTAACCTAACCAAAATTAAGTATTGCAATGTGACACAACAAAACTTTTGATAAGAACAAATACAGCAAATCCTCTAACAAAATGTTAGGATCATCAAATATCACACGTCTGGTAGTCATGTGAGTTCTGATCCTTTGAGAGGTTTCTAGGTTTTTGGCAGTTGGCCTTGTTTAGTTGTTACATTGAATGTGTCAATCAATAAAATTGGGTTGTTGTCAAAGGTATAACTCAATTCTTTTACTTTTAATTCAATTTTAATACAAATATAAGGTCTGATATGACAACAGTCAATGTGTTAAAGTGACGTGGAATTACTATTCCTTTAAATTCATGTTACAATAATTTAAGGAGCTATTTGGTTTCCTTGTTTAAAATTTGTACATACAACATTAATTTTTGTTACAGTGAAATGGACAAAGTTAAAGTAGCACAAGGTGTAAGTGGTTCTATAGTAGATCGTGGATCTGTATTAAGATTCCTTCCTTACATCCAATGTGGTATACGTCATGGTTGTCAGGACATTGGCTCCAGAAGCCTTTCTGCATTAAGGTATAGTTCTTTAAAGTAAATTTGATTAATGAAATTCATACAACATTTTGATTTATTTTAAGGGCTATGATGTACTCTGGAGAACTTAAGTTTGAAAAAAGGACCCATTCAGCTCAGACAGAAGGAAATGTACATGGATTGTTTTCATATGAAAAAAGGCTTTTTTAGACTCAGTTCTCTTCAAATAAGCCATAAATAAAGTATTGAATTGAAAAGATTCTTGCCATTTGGCAAAATTGAGCAGGCATATCCTACTTTTTTAATACTAAATTCTGGTTGATAATGTAGTTGGAATTAAGTTTCTCTCTCGCATAGAGAATGAGACCAACCTTGCACCTCGTTGCCCATTAACGAATTTTCTTATCTCCTCTGTGATAATGTAAAGTAAAGGAATATTAATGAATGCTGATTTAATTATTCCGTTCCCTCTGAGTACCTTGACTTTATTCTAAATGCGATTCATTTTACTGTATCTTTTAACTTAATAAATTCCTTTATTGAAATGTAAAATAAATAAGGGAAATATATAAAAATAAACAAAAAAATCCACTAAATAAAGTAAAAATTGTGATAATGAGATTTGTATCAATAAACATAATAAGCAATGTTCTGTAATGAAAAGAAATTTTTTTTTATTTTATTACTAAATATAAATTGTTTTACACTTTTGAGCATGTATGTATACTCAAAATGTATGCAGCCTTTAGTGGCTTATTCCAGTGATTTTTAAAAACAAAATTTTGTAGTATTTATAAAAAAATAAAAGAAAGGAAAGAAAGAAAAAAAAGAATCTCCTAATACAAAACTTCAATGGAGAACAGGTTGGAATCAGCCATTATACAAATTCAAATTGTATGTATTTATTGCAATTTATTATAAAAAATAAAATCAAAACTTTTCATATGTAAAATGTTTGTTTTAATGTTCCTTTAGTTATGTTTATCATTTTATGAAATCAGACTGAATTTAATGCTCAATTATAATATGACAATTTAAAAAGTTCTACGCAATTGCAGCAAATTTACCTGCTCTTTTATAATTACTTCTGCTAAAGTGATGTGGTGGTACTCATCCTAAGTGTAAAGGTGAAATCTTTATATATCGACTTGTTTTATGAGCTTACCTAATAATTGACAAATTTATTGTTGTTTTATTTTAATACCTTTAAACCGCTATGACTGTTTCAAGATTATTTTATTTGGTTTTCTGTGGTTTTCCAAACTCCAGTGGTATTAACAAGCCGACTACTGAATGCAGATCATGAGCCCTTCACACATGTGTTTCCAATTTCATTTCATAAAAGTTCCCTTCATTTCTGTTCGGGGCTTGTAGTGTTTTTCCTAGCCCAATCCTTATGCTAAAATGAAAGTAAAATAATTCCTGTCATACATAAGATTAAAAGGTGGGACAACATTGATCTATCGTCCAATCTATTATTACTTTGTGATCTTCGTTAAGCTTGGGTTTTTTTATCAGATCCGAAAACTTCGTTAAGCCTTCACAAGTTATCCTTCAGGCATTTCCTCTCCTAGGAATAAGAATCTCAACTTGCATAGAGGCCTTCTTGTCGATATCTGTACAAGCTTGTTTCTGCCGCTCCAAGATTATACATGTGTCTGGAATATGCAGGTCCAGTCGGTCGGTAGTCCTATGCTAGGTCTTAGTAGTTACATGCTAAATTTAGTAGTTCTTCTGTCTTTCTGAAATGGTCTTTTCCACTTGCTTCTGTCCTGGAATACAATCCAATTGAACCAAGGACTCATTCTTAACTATTGACTGATGTATGTACGCTTTTGGCAAAATTCCAGGCCAATGTGTCCTCAGTCCTGATGATCTGTCCTTAGCCAATTTATTGGTCTACTCTTTGCCCTTTATGTCATGGTACTAAAAACAAAGTTAATTTTGTTATTTTCAAATGGCTTTCAACTTTACTAAAGGTGAGGTAGTTAGTTGACTATACTAGCACATGGCTATCCCCAAGTAGAGGGGTATTCTTTTGTTGGTAATAACCAGATCTCCCTATCACATTCAATAGCTGCAGTTTCCGCCAGAAATACAGTGGCATGTTGTCCAAGGCTTATATAATTCTAGTACTTTGCATATTTCTAAACATACCAGCTCTTGACCCATACTTTATCATAAAGCCATCAATATACCAGATATACTCGGCATTAGCTGGGATCCTCACTTGAACCTAACCCATCCCTAACTATCTATGCTAACCTAACCAAAATTAATTATAGCAATATGACACAATAAAAGTTTTGATAAGAATAAATACAGCAAAACCTCTTAACAAAATGGTAGGATCAGTCAAATAATATCAAACTAATGGTAGTAATGTGAGCTATGATTTTTCGACAGGTTTCTAGGTTTTGGACAGTTGACATTTTTAGTTAACATGTTGACTGTGTCAATATTGGGTGGTTGTCAAAGGGCGAAACTCATGTTACAATTAGTACGCAAATAGTAGCTATTCTCTAGTGAAGGGTTTATTTGCTAAATAATGAAATATATCTTCCTAAACCAGCGAGGAAAAGCAGATCAAAATGATTGGCAATGGCTGCAATGCAGGTTTCTCATCCTACATACCTTAAGAATAAATCTCACCAAAAATTAAACATTAAAAATCTTTTTTAACTGTATGGACCATGAACTTTGTCGTCAATTATGATACTGCATGTACGAAAGAAATACACATANTTAGGGTTAGGTTTAGGTTTTTATTTTTTTAAATATTAGTATTTGTTCCAATCTATTGATTTATGTTGCTTGTATTAACTACTGGATTAGAAGGGGGAAAAATATAATTTGTGTCAACATAATTTATATTATCTCTTTTCAGTATAAATATGTGTATTACATAACAAAGTTACCAACAGAATTTAGTCCCATACAGTTAGACCACCTATTTTTACACTACTCTCTTATAATAATATTAATAGAAATATAGAATAGTTTCATTTATAGTTGTTTGTAATGAAATTAATCTATTTATTATAAAGCATTAACATTTAAACTGATTAAAATGTTGAGCCAGTGAATTACAATCAAGTAAAACTTTGCGAAAGATAAAACAATTACTGGATCATAAACCTCTTTGAACTACATAAATTTAAAAATGTTTTGAACAAATAACAATATTCATATTCTAATGGTAATTGCTATACAAGATAATTTTTAAACACCAGTGGAAGTGTTTATCAATAACACTTGTGCAATAATGAAGACAAACAGCGAGTAAATGACATGATAGTCAATAGGTTATAACACGAGAATTTTATTTTTAACTAATTCAACTAACAATCTACACTTAATGAATAAAGAAATGTGCATTAGTACTATTTGGCTCAATCTATTTTCATTATTTTACGAAGCTAAAGCAGCCAGTTTATTTAAATGCTTAGAAAAGTTTCTAAATCTACGGATTATATTCTGAACATTGTTACCAAATTATTAAAATAGTCATATGTTGTATTGCCTTCCCCCCATATTGTTTTAAAATGCTTCGCGTATAACAAATTGTCATGTTTGTGAAATTACTATTTGACAAAAATTTAAATTCAAATGATATTACGTAAAATATCCCCGTATGAAATTATTAATTTTATAAATTGTCGAAACACGTGCCACAAGAAATCCAGCAGAATTTAAAAAATACAAATACAGGTGGATAAGATAATGAAAAAATTACTATTTCTTATACATTTTCTTAAATCTGCTGAGATAATATACATATATTAATTTGTCAACAACAAATGCAATTGTACATATTTACAATTAATTTAGTTAAAAATAGCCTTTTGGTTTATACAGTACGCTTAATAATAAACCTTAAAAATATGTAACAATTTGATATTCATATTACTTAGTTTTGAATAAATAACTTCACATATACATGTCAAAAATATATATATATTATACACACTTCCACACCTTATATTTCTATTGACCACTGGTTATGATAAACGTGTAATGTGTATTGATTTTTATCTCTTTAACACTTACTAAGAAATTATATGGCAAGAAAATTGTTCGTTTTAATAATATCTAAATATAATGCATTGGAATTGCATTTGCCCAAGAGATAAGCAAGTTAACTCTTACAAGTCGACTGAATTACTTTTTTTAACATCTATGTTTAGTTACCCTGTTGAACTATGTTTAATTGTTTTGATTTGTATATTTTATTAATGAAGGCACATCTTAGAAACAGTCTAATTCCTTTCCAAGGCCTCTGTGCATGTCACTGTTGTGATACGTGTCTCGTTCATTTACAAATGATTTTATACAAAATCAATGGATAAAAGTTAAAAATATAATTTTCAATTTATTTCAGTTAGGTAATTGGTGCTATGTTACACACATTTATGAAAACTATGAGCTTGGGCAACTGTTATTTATGTAAATTTTGTTACATAAATGGATCGGATTGATGATCAAATCATATGTTATTCAAAACAACTATTATGAACAATTAAAATTTAAATAAAATTATTTCAATTACTAAAATACTGTACAACTGCAACCCTATAAATAAAAATGTGTTCATTTTAATTACATTATTCTCTTAATAATAAATAATTCAGGTAATTGTTTCATACTTGTTAACAACCAACATAATTTACCCTTTTCTGTAACAAGACCGAATGTGATTAATCATTCTTGAACACTTCTTCATCGTGAAACCATAAGAAAGAAAATATAAATGTTATAAATTTTAAAGTTGTGTTTCACAAATAGAGATTAAATTTAAAATTATGACTGAGCAGTTATTTTTAGGTACACTATAAATAATCCGATGAAATAAATTAAATAACTACTAAAATTAACACAAACGTGTGGTGATTAGTGACCGTTAGTCGATGATTATTCGGAAATCGTGAGATGCGGTCTGGTGTGATGTAGGTTTCAGAAAAACATTTTCTTTATCGTGCCAACGTTTCAATCTTTATTGAGATCATGATGAGCACGATAAAGAAAATGTTTTTCTGAAACCTACATCACACCAGACCGCATCTCACAATTTCCAAATAATCACTAACACAAACATCAATAAAATTTTGCAAACAACAAATTTAAACATGATATATTTATTATATTTTATAATAATCAGCCACCTAACAAATAACCATTCATATTTATTGTATTATACGTACATTTACATCTTTGCCTATAAAAAGTAAGTAAAAACTATGTACATATAAATATAATTACAACTAATGTAACACATTCGTTACATATATGCTTGAAAAATGCATCAATAGTACTAGTTTTTCAGGATCACATATCCTTTTTTTTACATCCCTATGTTGAAAAAATACCACTAGGGATATTCATCACAGCTAATATCTACATATTGCCAATTAAGATCTAAGAAATTTACTTTTCTTCATGGTATTTTTTGGAAAATTAGTAAAATTTGTTGTGACCTGTTAAAATTCTTAACAAAATTTTATTGTTATGTTGTTATTTGTTTGTTTTACCATTAAGAATAAAAGGTAATCAGTTTTTCAAAATCAAATAGCCCCACGTAAATAATACCTAAGATTAAAAAAAAAAAATCAATAAAATAAAAGTAGTTAATAAATAGATTTTATAAAATAACAATCTTATAAAAATTAAAACATTGTGCATCATCAACAACTTTTTTATACAAATCTAAATGACTATATTCATTTAATAAAAAATTAACAACATTGCAAATCTTCAATATAATCAGTGAGATAAAATTGATTCTTGTATGTAATGCAAACAGATACATATAAATTTCAACGTAATGTAGTTTATTATAAATTGTCTTATATATAGATTCTTAGCTCTTCTGAGTACATGTAGTACAGCTATTTCTTTTTCTTTACTTTCTCATTTTGTTTGACCATGATTACAAAACAAGAACAGAATCCAATTGCAAATATATTATATATAATACAATAAGATAAAGAAAATACTAATGTTAGAAAAGAAACACTTTGGTTAACATTATTTGGCACTTTCTTACTTACATTTCTTTAAAGGTAACAAGCCAAGTATTTATAATAAGAATCCTTATTGGAAAAACGGTCAATCGCCTTAGTTGACTCGATTCTGCTTATTCAGACGTGAAGTAACAGGGCGTGTGCTGAAAATAAAGTAATAAACAAACCATATTAATAATCAGTAAGGATCTATTTTTATAAGATTGTTAAAACAGATCAGCAAGAATCTCCCCTAATATAATTAATTAGAAGAGAGAAGAAGAGAAACTGTGAATAATGAAATCAAGCAAGGTTAACAATAAATAATTCAATAAAATACAAATTATTTTAAAAAAATGATGCTCATTTGAAGGAGTAAGTTGGATAATACTTGTTTTTATGGATACAATAGCTCTTAAAAGGCGCAGTATATTACACCCTGACCAATACATCTACTTGTTTTTATAAACTATTTGTATCTGATCGTTTTGGTCGGTCCATCCTTGTTGTTTTGTCCTGTCAGACATGTTTTGTCTACTCACTTTCTACAGAAAGTGTTAAAACACCGCTGACAGTCCAAATCAGCGAGGATAGACCAACCAAAATGGCCATAAATGACCAAACACGTACGGTTTTAGTTTTAAATTATTTATTTAATTTAACATTAATTTAAACAATCACATTCAACAGAAGAAAGTAAATTTATTTATACTGGTTTTTGTGTTTTTTCAAAAGCACATTCTTCCATTTTTTACCATTTATTAGGGATAAACATTGCTTGAAAATCTAATACCTTACATCAACTCTAGTTGCTTATATGTTTTCTATTTTGCATATTAATATCTAGTCGCAACCTTTGGAATAAAAACAGTTCAAAACCATTGCCTGAAAATTTTTTCGTTATTTTAAAATAAAATATTTCAGTTAAATATTATAATACCAAATAATAATTATTTGTAATGTTATAGCACTTTAATAAAATTTATGAAATTATTATCATGAAAATCAAACGAGCTGAAATACACAATTATACAGGCATAAGTTGCAATTCACTTGAAAATGCTGTTAATTTACATTTTCTTAGTCCTCCTTGATGATGTAGTTTCACACTAAATAAACACCAAAGCTTAAAAATTCATGAACACAAACTGTGTTAAAGATGTCAGTACAAGGGACAGTGTGCGGACCGTTAGTCCATAATTATTCAGAAATCGTGAGATGCGGTCTAGTGTGATGTAGGTTTCAGAAAAACATTTTCTTTATCGTGCCAACGTTTCGATCTTTATTGAGCCCTGAAGATGATCTCAATAAAGATCCGAAACGTTGGCACGATAAAGAAAATGTTTTTCTAAAACCTATGTCACACCAGACCACATCTCACGATTTCTGAATAATCAAGGGACAGTTACAAATAGTCGATTTTAATAAAAATAAAGACTTTAATAAATTACTCATTTCTGTCCCTTGTGGCTAAAGTTAAGTTCAATAATAATAAACATAATATAACATAATAGTACACAAATTCTTCAGTTAAATAATTATTACACCTACTGAGAAATCACTCACCAAAGTTAATATACTTACCTAAGCCAAAGCAGAAGCATTAACTGAACCGATTGGAACTATAAATTATGATAAACCAGTGAATTATTCAGCTTTAGCTGGTATACCAAACAATGTGGAATATATTGCATTTCAGTTAAACTTCATGATTTCAAAACATAGGTAGTTGGAACATAAATGTCAAAACAAAGCTGACATTAAACAAAATGATAAAATAGAACAACTGTTTTTGCTGTCTAATTATTTATGTACAAGACATGGAAATTTGGACTTTAATATTTAATGTTCATTAATAAAATGTATAAAATTATACCTATTAATTATCACAGTACCTCATACTAAGAGTGTACAGTTTTATTGGATATTTACAAGGTTGCATTTTCAATGGTACGTACATTAGGTGCTCTTTTGAGGATCAGTATAATTCATGTACATTTAGGGAAGATAGTCTTTTAATTTTATTCCTTGAAACTTAAAAGAACTATAAAATTAAACAGTTATCAAAAGCATCTTGCTACAAAAGATGTACAAACAATCTGTTCTGAAGATATTTTTGAACAGTAAGTGTAAGAACTAATGTTATCATACAACCTGTTAGGTGTTTAATCCTAATAAGCATTATTCAAACATTTTATATGATTAATAATTATTCATTAATTCAGCAACTTGTAATGTATTGTTAAATTTCTGTGATTTATTAAAAATAAATAGTTTAATAAATGAGCAGTCAGCCATGCAAAAAAGCAATGTTTTGAACAGAATGAGCAATTGTAAAGATAAATTATAAAACATGCAGAATACAGTTGCCTGCAGGTGAACAACACAAGTGAAAGCATGCAGTATAATACTGGTATTTCTATAACCACATAACTCTACAATTACTCTAATTTTGGGCTATTTGAAGGTGTAATAAATTTATATGTGAACAAGCTGCCTTCCCTTAGACACTAGACAATTTTTTTTTTATTCTCACAAATTGATAAGAACTATGTATAATCGGCATGAATTCAAGTGAAAAATAACAATTTAAAATAATATTGAAATTGACATGGCAATATGTCCCTCTTGAAACAAAGAAAAGAAATTCAAACAACCTACAAATGCTACGATTTTGATACTAAATAGTTTTAAAAATATTGACCTATTGTGAGAGACTAGAAAAGCATAGCATAGCAACTTATCCTCACTGACCCCCCAGCCTCACACTGCCAGCTAATAGTAAAATATATTTTATTTATCACATTCTTGTCATTTATATATTTTGAAATTATGTTAAGTTAAAATAAAATTTGAAAAATTGGTATTTCACTTAATAAAAGAACAGATTTTCAGATCCAGATAAGATTTGAGTTTATCCATTCATAAGAATAGGCTTTAACGTATTCATTTAAATACACATTTACATAATTATATTATTATTATTCATCCATATTATACCTTGCTTGTTAACATTTAAATACTAGATGCACTTTAAATAATTTATTCATCATTTTAAAGACAAAGAAAACTATATTCTGGGCTTTCATTGATTTCCTTTTTTTATTATTTTTCATTTTATTTTATTATAGTAATGAATTTGCCTTACTAGAATAAGTTTCAATAGGTCAAATAGATTTTTGTATAACTGCTGCCAGAAATAAGTTTCCATAGCAAAAGACAAGGTTCATTAAGGCATGCCAATAGGAAGTTACCAGTAACTTACTTAGAGGAGTTACGAAGTGAAGAAGTCTGAGAACAATCAGTACTAACAGCTGATTTAGTAAGAGAACGAGTTATGGGCCTTAAGCAACTTATGTTTGCTTTAGCTATGTTAGGGCGTACCAATGTTCTAGTGCCATAAACTGAATTTCCAAGCCACACAGTTCTGTCGTGAAAACAGTGAAATAACTGATAAGAGAATGTAAATATCTTCAGAAAAATTATTAGTTATACAACTTAAAAGTAAAAATTGCTATTAAAAGACTAATCTACATAACGGTGGACAATTAGTGAAACAATTTTAATTACACACTCTTAACAAACAAAAAATTATGTAAAACTGTCTTTTAAAAAGATGTACTACTAAATTTAATTACAAAATAATATCAAGTTACCCAAGTTGCTTTACTATACTATTACTACTTCAAAACACAACTAATATTTGTGTCACACATCATTTAACTTGGGGTAACATTGTTGATTAAAGTGCCCCGCTTTTAAATTGGTTGTTTTAATATTTTAAATCAACGGTGAAGTAGATAGAACAATAAATTAATAAAATGTTTTGTAAGCTATCAATCACAGAAACATATGCTGTGCTGCTCACTTAAACTTGCACTTCCTGTGCTTCAAAGTATATTTTATTTCAAAGAATAAAAACTATAAATATATTTATTCTGGAAGAGGAAAAATTGCAGAAAACATTATTTAAAATCACTAGGTGCTTCAAATAAAATAAAAAGGGTTCTAAAAGTATCCAATCTTTTAATACAATATTTCTAAATTCTTACAGCTGACAAGTTGATGATGATAAAAAAAAACATGATAAAAAAAGATAATTTTTAAGCAATAAACTCTGAATATTTTGAACTACCAGAAAGAAATCTCAGTAACAGATAAGACTGTGATCAGCCATTGTTTAACCATAATATATATGCACTTTTTTTTCATAAATGACAACAAAATAAATACGTGAAAATGCTAAAAAGATAAATTTTCATTGAATAAATTGGGGGAAAGGGGTTACAATATAAAATCAAATTTTGATTAAATTTAATACTTCACCATTAGTAGTGCTAGAAGATCTTGTCTTGAATCTCACTTTTAGATCACATTTGTAGAACAACCAAATTTTGGTTTAATTATGTTTAGAAAGAAATTAATTCTCAACGTTATTAATAAATAATTTTGCCTGCATGGAGTAATGAAAGCAAATTACAAAAATAGACTCTATTTTTTATTTACTATAAGAAGATGTAAATTTAAAATTATCATATTCATCGTATTTGAACAAATTGAATCGTGAAAATTACAACAAAAAAACTGTAAATTTTATATACAGTAATAAAAATCGAAGATACCAATTTTGGCTATACTTATAAAAGAAAAACTTTTAATATGACAAACTTATTATATTGACTATCATCAATTAAATATATTGATTATAACCATTGCTCTAATATTAATTTTGTTTCCTAAAAGAAAATCACCTTCTAGAGATTCCTGATCTAGTTGGCCTTTTCGGAACCATATTTATTGATGTTTTCCTAACCTTGGTAGGTGTTTCTGGGATGGTATCTGATGAGTTATCTTTCAGGCAAGAAGTCCTTAAGGAATAAAATTAAGAAATCATTTAATTAATACTAACTTTAAAATGTCACAAATACTGCTAAATAACAGGCAAATACATCAAATGTAAAAGTGGTACCATTAGTATTTAACATTATTACCATTTAAAAACTCACCTAACGACAGCATTTACCGGTCGAATTTTCTTCCTCATAACTTTGATTTGATTTAGATGATCTCCTTGGGTAAGAGGGCTTTGTAGACAATTCAGGGTAGTGGTACTGTCTTCTGCCTCAATCTTAGAAGGAAAAAATATACATTACAAAAACTAAATCTACTAGACTCAATGTCACGCTGGATTAAAAATTATCTACTGACCTTTCTAGCTGGTTCTTTTTTCACTTTATTTTCAAAGTTAGTTTTATCCCTGATTTTTGTAGCATCAACTTTTGACAGGATCTTTGAAATTGAATCGGGATACTGAAGTAGCTGATTTCTCATCGATTTAGGCCCATAATGTGCCAAAAGTTTTTTCAATTTTTTACTATAAATTCCATAGCTGTGTACTGGAAATTTTGTTGGAGAACCAAATAATGATTCTCTGTATTTATTTCCCAACTGCCACATTTGTTGTTCTTTTCTAAAAATATAATATAAATAATCACTTAACATAGAAATTATGTATTGCATTGTGTGTTTCAGTAAAATTCCCTTCATAATACATTACCGAATAAAATCTGTAATACATGAACTAAAAATTAGTTTTCTAAAAAAAATTGTTTTCTGTGTACAGAAAAAGCATGCATTAATTTTAAGAAGCAATTTTCTCAAGCAACTCAAAACAGTCATTCTGAACAAAAGCTTTATAAACAATACCAAATACCTACTCATTCAACCATTGTTGTTGGTGCCCAATAATTGACCCAGGTCTGCATATCCTAATCCATGCAATTGCCTCAGCAACATTAAAGTTATAATGTTTCATGATGTAACAGCCAATTAATGAACCAGTCCTCCCCAAACCAGCTAAAATCAATGCAAATAAGTTACACACAAAATATATGTAACGTTTAATCTATGAGTAAAACACTGATATACACGAGCAATAAACTTTCAAACGACTGCGAGGGTTGATGTTAGGTTTCTGTAAATGCCAATGAGAGCTATCATCAACACATTGAACTGAACATGCTATTTGATGTATGCTTCTTTAAGAGTGGAATATAAAAAGAAAAATCACACTTAAACCTAATGACAAAGCACTTTGGAATTGGGCTGTCAATTTGAAAAACAAAAAAAAAGTAATAGAGATTATTTTTACCAAAGTACATAGGATTTTTAAATAAGTACCTACTACGTAGATAGTATTGGAAGTGTTTTGGTTTTGGACACTACTTATACAATGAATTAAAATTAAATTAGCAAAATTTTTTTAAGATTTAATATAAATAAAATTATTATAAATAATTTGTTAAATGTTGCTTGAAAATTGGGCCTTTGCTATCCTCAGTGAGTAAAATTATCTTGTCTAATTTTTTTTTTTCCACGAGCAAAATAGAAAATAGTGTAAGTAACAGGAAATCAATTTAATTAGGCTATTACGTTTTACTACCTTTAACCAAAGGAGCTCAAATCCCAAAGGAGTTACACAAGTAAACACACATTCTGAGAGAAGAAATATTTATCTTAGAAAAATCTTGCACCTGTGTATAAACAGAGAACGAAGTTTAAGGTGCAAGAAGTGTCACATTTAAGAAGTGTCTTATTTAAGCTAGCCTTAAATAAATCAATTGGGATTGTTGTAGGGGAACAGCTAACAGATCCCCTACAGTGCTATGTAATCATGGCTGATAATTTTAATTATACTGATTTTAATAATTTAAAATACCTTTGCAGTGAACAGCAACTGCTCCTGCTGCTGATTCGGAGATTGATAAAAACTGTTTCATGATGTGATCGCTTGGTGTACTGCCGTCCACAAAAAATAAATCCATGTGAGCAAAACCGGAATTTGTGAAGCGGGCTGAATTATATTTTTTGTTGTTTAGACGGACCACTGTTGTGATATTGTTTTTTCTGAAGTAGTTAAAGTATGATTCTGGAGAGTGCAGAGGATAACCTATGTATCACCAAATATTAGAAATTACAAGTGGCTTAAAAGAATATAATTTATTTTAACTAAAACACTGCAGATTTTTTTTATTGTTAATGTATTTATAATAATTTATTACCGTTCTCTATTTTATTAAATGCGTGAGGTCCACAAAACGCGATAAATTTCTGAGGCACTATCCAATTCAGATCTCCATTCTCGACTTTCTGCAATTTATCAGTAAAATAAAAAACAGTTATTAAGCAAGTTTCAAAAAAGTGGTACACTTACCTCGTATCGTTCATATTCTTCAACATCAAAGTCCTCAAAATTGAAAAAACCCAAGTGATGCGATTTGTAAACAGCTTGCAAACAATCTAGAAGTGTTATCGGGAATACGGAAACGCCGCATGATGCATCTCTATAATACAATGATATTAAAATAAGCCAATTGTAACAGAGAAAAAAGATGTAGCTTTATACCTAAATGGAATAAATGGTTGCTCCACTCCATCAACTAATATACTGTAAGCCTCTTCTGGTGTTAGTTTTAAATAAAGTATCTGAAGAAAACAATAAATATTTTTCATATATAATTTCAACATTTCAAAATGTACAAATAATAAAGACAATTACTGCATATGAAGCTATTAAATATGCTGAATTCACTCTTTTTTGTGGATCTACAGTTGTGTAATGTACAATTTTCTTCTGTGTCTGAGAAGCAACCTATAAATAAAAATAAAGTATACATTGCACTGCTAAATAAAAAAGGAAAGGAAAATGGTGAAAATAATTGAACAACCCAAAACTACAGGATCAACAAAAGGGATAATAATCTATTGGGTTGTCCGGAAAATAATGCAGGATTTTGGTATTAAACAAAAAAAAAGAAACTAGTTACTTTAAAGCAATGTTCTTTAATCAAAATAATTTCCCATACTCTCAATACATTTCTCCCAACGTGTTGGTAACTTATTAATTCCGTCTGAGTAGAATTCAGAATTTTTAGAATTGATAAAGTCAATAAATGCATTTTCCAGTTCCGTTTGATTTTTGAATATTATGTGTTGTAAGTAGTGGTCCAGGTGTCTAAAAAAATGGTAGTCAGTAGGCGAGAGGTCCGGAGAGTAGGGTGGGTGAGGCAAAGTTTCATAGCCAAGCTCCAATAATTTTTGTGACGTTACACGTGACACATGTGGTCGAGCGTTGTCATGCAACAAAATGGGCCCTTTCCGATTGACCAAAGAGGGCTTCATTACTGCCAATTTCTGATGCATGGTATTAATTTGGTTACAGTATGATTCAGCATTGATGGTTTCGCCAGGATTTAAGAAGCTGTAGTGTATTAAACCAAATGAAGCCCACCATACCGTAACCATTACCTTTTTTTGATGAGTTGGGGGCTTTGGAAAATGTGGTCAGCGACGGTCGTTTTACTGACTTTGAGTTGCTCTGCAAGTTCTCGAACAGTTGTTTTGGGGTTTTCTTCCACCACTGATCGCAGAACATCATCATTAAGAGAGGAAGGCCTTCCACGACCTTCTTCATCTTCAAGGCTGAAATCTCCCTCCCGAAATTTTTTAAACCACCTTTGCACAGTGCACTCATTAACACAACCCTCGCCCCAGACTTGGTTAATGTTTCTAGCCGTTTGGGCTCCGCTTCGGCCGAGTTTAAACTCGTAAAAGAAAATCGTACGAAATTCTCGCTTTGACATTATAAGGATGACTGAATTATTTCCAAGTAGCGGAATGCTACAGAGGTAAACAAACAATATCATTTGGAAGAGGATTAATAAGTGTTGACATTCATACAAATGAGTAATCCTGTAAACGTAAACAGAATATTTTATATAGATTTTTTTTAATGAAAACTTAAAATCCTGCATTATTTTCCGGACAACCCAATATACATGTATTTCGTGGTTGAATTGACAGTATTAATTATTTTATTTTATTATACTTTTAATTTAGGGTCTTTGTTGAGATGCAGAAGTAACTGTAACGAGTGGGATTCGAACCCACAACCTTCGGCTACAGAGTAGTGTAGTGGACTATTGAACCAAAGGTCATGGGTTCGAATCCCTGTCGTGACACTTGCTTTTTCATCTCAGCCAAGACCTTAGATTAAAAGTATAATTAATTTAAAAAAAACAACAATGTTAAATCAAAATAAATCTATGAATGGATTTCTTTTTTCCTAAATACAATTATAATATTGAATTTGAACTTATTTATTTCAAAGTACATTTTGTTTGACATGATTTTTTTTAAATTTAAATAAAGATGTTTTACGAACAAATGGGTATACAATTCCTGAATAATCCCTACATGTATGTAATCAAGCCCATAAAAGAAAAAACAATACGATATAATAATAAATTGGTCATGATTGTGTGAAATAAAGATCCAAACAAACATCATTATTAATAATCTTTCTACATAAAACAGACTGTTATTTTTTAAAACAAAAATACATACCCTTCTCTTTCTGTTTAATTTTAAACAGTAGCGATATAACATAGCCAAGTTAAGAGGGCCAAAATCGGAATAAAAGTTTTCATAGATAAATTCCTCGTCGATACTGAAATAGTGTGTGTTGATTGTTGATTTAGGAGTAACCGATGTTCTCAGCGTAACAAAATACAACTGATCTGAAAGTAATAAAAAAAAACTGTTAATGGTTGTTATTGAACAAAAAATTCAAATTTGTAAAACTGAAAATGCAATAATAAATTACGGTTTAATTTTATGCAAGACAGTTGATAATGTTTGTGGAACAAATCATGCTTCTTAGCTCAAGATTTCTAATCAATGATATTTTGAAAAGCGAAGTAATTTCTATTGTTCACTTATAATTCAAAGCTTTTGCAAGCAAATTAAACAGCGTTCAATTAACTAACAATAAACTAGTAGATCTGTGAGGACTTCAATAAGAGGATATAACTAAACCTGTAATACCTCCTGACACTAATTCTTCAATGTAATCTTTTTAAAAATAAATAAAACAGTCTGAATCATTGGCGCATAAGTATTTAACAATGAAACACTTTTTAATTATCTAATTTCAGCTAGTTAAGACTGTATGTGGGAGCACCTCCATAATAGGCCATGTCTATATTTCTTGTGGGCTTTTTTAACAAGAAAAATGTTACTTTTTTCTTTCCTCCATTAAATCAATAATGATTAAGTCAAAAACGTTTTCCTTCAAATGAACAGAAAACTTTTTTTAGGTAACAATGGTTGTTTTACAAGTTTTAACATTTAAACTATTGAATTACCTACATTGAACCAACCGGTTAAGATGGTATTTTACTTCTTGCATTATTTTCCAACACAAACCTTTTTTTTCTACAAATGAACACTACATTTCTTCTTTTTTTTAATAAACAACAGTGGTTTTATAAAAATAATAATTAAAGACTTTTACTAAATATGTTATGGACTTATGTTATATGGGAGTCTCTATAGCCAGGTACACTTCTTGTATGGTATTCCAAAACATTTTTTTCTTAAATGAACAATAATCCTTTTTTTAATAAGCAAGTAATAGTTTTTTCCCAAAATAATGGTTCTTAAAAAAGGAGGGCGACCAGAATGCAATGAAAGGTGGTTTTATGATTTAAAAAAATTTAAAAAATTAAAAAAAAAAA